CCGTAAATGATAGTGGACGGCGATTCAGTGAATAGGTATCATTACAATTAAAATATTAGCTTATGGTGAAAAATTGGACAAGCGTTGGATGATTTATTCACAAACAAAACTTGCCATTTACTTCTTCTGTCGATTGTTCAGAATAGAATATAAAGAATTGGGTCCAGTGCAGAACTTTGCAATTGGAAACACTTGGGTAAATATTTAAAGTTTCACGACTTCGGCTGCACAAAGATTGTATGTTAAAACGGTTAAATTTAGAGAACGGATTGTGAACGGATTATTAAATTTAGAGAACGGATTAAAAAGCTGTACAACTATTAATTCTTTAGCCCAGAGGCTTTCCTTCATTGGCCGCCCAAAGTGAAGCGCAAGAGCCAAATCCTTGAGAGGGTAGAAGTGCTCATTCTGTAAAATAACGGGGAAACCCACGAGCACTTGTTATGGTGAAACCGGTGCACACTTCTCGATAACCGTAGCCAACCACACTGATGTTGTGCCCGGGGCACTATGCCATTAGTGGGAGGCGAGTCACCGTCTGCCAAATATTGAATATGAAACTGTTGAGAAGGCGGACATTCGATAGTCTCATCCAATAGCCCAGTTTTTAGCCCATCCAAATTCCATTCCATAGACTCTTTTAGTTTTCCATATTTTCCATAGTCCCTACGCATTGTCCGGAACCATATTTAAGCAATTCCTTATGGGTAACTCAGAGATGGATGCCGGTTGATGCGTCATATTAAACACTTAAATCTCTTAAGTGGTCTCTACGTGTTGGACCTGTGTTGCCCACACAAGCCTTCCAAACAACCGAGCTCCTTCGAGCTCGTGAATTCTAAAGAGCAGAGCCGGATTCAACCTTAGTGCCGCCCCTGGACACTAAAAAAAATGCCGCCCTGTTATCGCAGCTTTGCATAAAATGAATAGTTTCGATAATTTTTTTTAAATGCAAAAATAATAATTTATAAGTGATATTATTTGTTCGAAAAATATATACTATAACTAATATATATTATACTACTTAGTCTTTTTTAATTATTCATTTTTTGGAAACTAAAAAAAGCATTTTCGATAACGGGAAGACATTTTTTTCCCACCCTCCAAATTTTGCTGCCCCTAAAAATTTGTCGCCCTGAGCACTAGCCCGGAATGCTCCTAATGTGAATCTAGCGCTGCTAAAAAGATACTAATAATGCCACTATCTCTGAAAAATTATTCAAAATGAGCTAATAGAATTAATGGCAAGTCACGCAAAACCTAAAAATGTTGACAAAATAATTTTGTCTTTTTTGTGCTTGCTAACTTTTATAAATTTCTAATATACAATTTTAAATTTATTTATTTATAAATTTTACATTTCTCGCCAAGCATCATCATTAAAAATATTTTCAATTCACGTAAATTTCATAAAAAACAAGGGCCTCGCAAAGAACTCCTGCCCGGGGCCTCGCAATGGCTAAGGCCGCCCCTGATTTAATCCTACGATGACGACGATTTAATTCTACGATGAAATCCGAATACGATGTGTGTTTTCACAAAGCTGTGATTTGTAGCAGACACTGTGAATTTAAGTAGCAGGTGTGACGTATGATAACGCATTTCATGTGATTTTTCACTTGCTACTCGTGAAATGTTCCATGCCTAGCTTGCATACATTTTTGCTAATCCACCGCACACGAACGGAAATTTTCATTCAGGATCGCGCCTGCGCTGTATCGAATAGACGTCTACGCACACGTACTACTACTACTGTATTGTATCTACTATTAATACTTTCTTAGATTTACGCGAATGTTTGACATTATTAAATAAAACTATCTTTTCGGATTATTTCGCGGATTTATTTTGATTTATTTATTATATTTATTCAATTATAATTAAAATTATAAAAAAGTTTAAAATTAAAAAAATATTGTAATGTAATTGGTGCAATTTTCATTTTTTAATTGTGGGTAGGCTGTCTGTAACAACTATACCTTCAAGACATGTAACCACAGAGTACATTGGTATATACTAACACCTCAGTCTCTCCCGTGACCATGGATAATGTAAAGCATTCGAAACGTCGGGAACCAAAAATCAAAATAAATCCGCGAAATAATCCGAAAAGATAGTTTTATTTAATAATGTATCTACTATTTTTAAATAACAAAACGTGTGAGACAGAAAATTTTATAATGTCTGTGGAAAAATATCCATGTCTTAGTATTTAGTGGATATACCCAATAACGACGTTTTTTTTATTTCTTGAGCCAGTAAAAGTACAATAGCAATCAATTCGTCGTCGTCCATGTTAAGCGTGTTTTCATGAAAGCGTCACTCTACCTACTGGCAGTGTAAAATTCCTAATAAAAAAAAATCGAACGACTGCGCTAGTCTTATGGAATTCCGAATCAGAAATCCTTTATCCGAATCAGGAAACCGGTGCGTATGTGGCCGGCCGCCTAAGCATTAGCACACTTCGGCATTGTGCGCCAAAGTGAGACATTATGCTTTGTAATTGGAAAACTACCATAATTTAGCAACTTTGTCAGTGTGTTACTAAAATTTGCCAGTACAAAACTATGCACCAAACGTAATAATAGATAACATTACCAAACGTAATAATAAATACCTTGATAAATAATAATGCTAATTATTAAATACATAACTTTTAATAATATTTGTCTGAATAGATATTCAATTTTAAATAGTATTCAAATTAATTTTGAATTCTATAAAGAAATATTGTTTTTATTTATGTATAAAAAAATCATTAAAGTTTTGTAAGTTTAGTACAATTTATCGTTTTGTTATATATTTAAGAAATGGCTAACAAAAAAATAATTCACAAAATATTTTTATTGAAGATTGTAGTTGGTCATGGCCTAAATGATAATAAAAAACTGACAGCGTAAAAAAACAAACTAAAAAAATAAAAACAAGTTGTAGAAATAACATAGAACATATTATTATGCTTTCCCCTCGATAGGTTTGAAAAAAACTCTTAAGTATTACAAATCGATGCTTAGAATCCGCCGCATATGTCCATAATATGATTCGAACGTGATTATTTAGTCGTAAACCAAAAAAAAACAAATGAATATGTACAATATTTTTTGTTTGCGTCAAGCGCGCTCCACATTCACGCGAGATCTTCGCTGACAATCTCAGCAAGAATTTCAGCAACAATCTTGGCGAGAGCTTTTTTGGCTACACACTCACAAGGTTCTTATTAATACAGTTCTCACGCTCGATGACGATGGACGCAGAAGTAACTGCTGAGACAAGCTTATTGCTAGGCGCATCAATTGCTTATCATAATTATTACGCTTATAATAAAGACTAGCGACTCACCCTCGCTTCGCTCGGGTTCGTCCCTCGGGGTCGGTTCCTTCCCCATGCAGACTTTCATCCCCATTCTCATCCCTTTAAGGGATGACTTCCGAGATAAAAACTATCATGTCCTTCTCAAGGTCTCAAGCTATCTTCTTACCAAATTTCATCTAAATCGGTTCGGTAGTTTTAGAGTATATTCGATGCAAACAAACAAACAAATCTTTTCTCTTTATCATATTAGTATAGATAAAAACCAAATCTATGTATACATACAATAAAACTGTAGAGGTCGAATGTCTGTACATAGAAAAAAAATGTTAAAAACTGAGTCAGGGGGATGTAAGAAGACAAATAGAACTAATCCAGATTTTTACCAATTTTTCGTTTCTCTGTCTGTTTGTCTGTTTATGTGTTTGTCTGTTTGTACGGGCTAATCTCCGAATCTATTGGACGGATTTAGATGAAATTTTGCATGGTGGTACCTTAGTCATTATATCCCCAGGCAACATCTTAGATATTTTTCACTCCGGAAAATAAAAGAGTTTCCGTGGGATAGTTAAAAAACTATAATAACTTAGCTTAGTACACAAAAACTACTGATTGGATTTTAATGAAATTTTACATGACAATAACAAACCGGCTACTTTTCATCCAGGAAAATTAAAGAGTTCCCGTGAGTTCAACGACTACTTAGCCCGAGTACCACCGAGCTACTTAGTCAAAAAACTATAGTAACTTATACAGCTTAATACACAAAAATTATTGATTTGATTTTGATGAAACTTTACAATAATATCCATATTAATATTATAAATGTGAAAGTGTGTTTGTTTGTTTGTCTTTCTTTCACGTCAAAACGGCTTGGCGGATTGGCGGATTTTTTGTGTGGATATAGTTGGTGGGCTGGAGAGTGACATAGGCTACTTTTTACCGTAGGAAATTATCTCTTTCCCACGGTAAAAGACGTTATAATAAAACCCAAAAAATATTTATGATCAGAATTACTTGAAACTTGGTATTATTGCTCTTTAATAAAATTAAATAAATACGTGTTTCAGCATTTTTCGAAATTCATCCTATAAGCAGGTAAAATAAGGGATGAAAGTTTGTATGAAACTATCTTTTTAGAGATTTTTTGTAGTTTTAGCGCGAGCGAAGCCGCGGGTTCAGCTAGTTAAAAATAAGTGGAGAAAAAGAGGAGGGTGGATGACAAGTAAATACCACGTACATGCGGTCTAATCGTCGAGTCGCTCGCTACTGAGAAAAATGCGAGTGTGGAGTCAATACAAGTTCTTGTCTGTTCTTGCGTTCTTAGCACTTTTATCTCGCGCCAAAAAACCGACAAAAATCAGAGAACACAACGAGAACCTGTGAAAATTATGTGAATCGGTTCCACATTCACGTTTCTCGTTTTTTCTTGCTTTCTCGCGAGATTCTTGCGTGAATAATTATAGATAATTTATTTTATCTACTTCAAAGATTTTACTTTGTCTGTATCATAAAATGAGTGATTATCTAAGTATTTCTCTAAAGTTTGTGTTTATCTGTAGCTCAGAACTCTGCTCTAAATTGTAATGCAGTGACTTGTCAAATTTACTAAAATCAACTCATTCGCCGATTCATCGAAAAGAGTTGTTGAAGAATTAAAAGTTATAATAACTTAACGATCAAATATAAAGATGACAGTCAAAAATAAAACAGAAGAAAATAAAAAAGAAAAGGCAGATCCAACACCAGCACCCAATGATGATTTGGTATTTTGTTCTTATGCATCCATTTTATATCTGGTGAAATAAATGTGAATAATACTTACATTGTTTTTTTTTGCAGTCTGAAGAAGATAAACGTCTACAAGAGGAGCTAAATATGCTCGTCGAAAAACTTGTGGTATGTTTCTTTTCAACAAATGACATAGACTTGGTGAGGTTTGCACCATTATAACCACATATTTTTATATTTTAGGGTAGCGAAGTTGATCTTTACTTACCGGCACTACAGATGTTAACTAATCTAATAAGAACATCTACGACTTCTATGACATCCGTCCCTAAACCATTGAAATTTTTGAGAGAGCATTATCCAGCTTTAAAAGAAGTGTATGAAAAAATCGAGGATGAAAAAACAAAGAAATTTTGCGCTGATGTTGTCTCCGTACTTGCAATGGGCGTTAGTGGTTCTCCTGTAAGTCCTTTGTTTTTAATATTCTAGTGCAAATAATAAATTTCATCACATTAAAAAATAAATTTTGTTTAGGATGCAGCAGAAAAAAGAGAGTGTCTTAAATATTGCTTGCTGGGAACTATGTCTAACGTAGGTGAATGGGGTCATGAATATGTAAGGTAAGGCTTAATAGGATTGATTGACATAGGAACTAAGAAAAGATTGATATAAATATAATCTGTAAACTATATTATTTCACAGACAACTTGAAGGAGAAATTGCAGAAGAATGGAATATAGAGAACATGAACTCACTAATGCCATTGGTGCGTGATGTTGTTGCCTTTGATATGCAACATTCTGCTGAAATTCAGGCTTGTGATCTACTTATGGAAATAGACCGTTTAGATTTACTGTCTCAACATATGGACCAGAGTAATTATCCTAGAGTGTGCCTGTACTTAATAGGGTGAGCTACTGTATAATATTTCTTTCTACTAATTACTTACTTTTAGATATGTCAGGTAAAAAAAAGCTTATATCATCAAAGAAAAGCCTCTTGGTTTCAGTTTTTTCACATACTAGTGTTAAGTGCATTATTTTTTTTCTAAACAACTAAATTTATTTAAGGGTGTCTATAAAGTAGTCACTTTGTAGTAGATTATATATTAAGTTAAAATATCTTAAGGCACTCTTCAGCCCATAAAAGTCTTTGGTAATCATTAATTAATAAATTTAAAAAATGTTAATAGATGTGCAAGCTATGTAGTTGAACCTGAGTCAACCCAGATTCTCCAAGGAGTTCTTGACACATACTTACGTTTTGGAGAGTATCCACGAGCGCTTCTTGTAGCCATGCAGTTACATGACAAGGCCAAATGTGAAGAAGTATTTAATGCCTGTAGTGATCCGTAAGTTTAGTTGAATATTTTTTAAATAATTTTATAAAATCAATAAAATATATTTTTAACTTATTTTATGGTATTACAGATTGATAAAAAAACAACTTTGCTATATGTTGGCTAGACAATATGTACCTCTAGAGTTGGAAGATGAAGATTTGAGAACCATTCTTTTAAATGCTCACATAAATGACCACTTTCTAAGTCTAGCTAGAGAAGTAAGTTTTAAAATAATGCTTTATACATAGTACAATGATTTATTTTTTGCATTATAATTATAATTACATTTTCAGAGATAAGTTTTCTCTTTAGTTTATAATATTACTTATGGTCTTTAACATCATTTTTAGCTTGATATTATGGAACCTAAAACCCCTGAAGAAGTTTACAAAACTTGGTTGGAGTCAGCAGGTTCTGCACTCCGTCCTTCACTGTTGGCAGAACACCCAGTAGATTCTGCACGTCAAAACTTATCAGCTACATTTGTAAATGCTTTTGTAAATGCTGGTTTTGGTAGAGACAAGCTAGTTACAACTGAGGATGGAAACAAGTGGATGTATAAGAACAAAGATCATGGTAGGATATCATATTATATATTTTTAAGTTTGTGTTAATAAATAATGAAGTGTAAAACTTTCAAAATGAATTATCATTTACTATATAATTATATTTCTAGGTATGCTATCAGCTGCAGCGTCACTTGGTATGATTCATTTATGGGATGTAGATGGAGGGTTAACTCCCATTGACAAGTACTTGTATACTGCAGAGGAACATATTAAGGCAGGAGCATTACTTGCGCTTGGTCTTGTTAACTGCGGTGTGCGAAATGATTGTGATCCAGCACTAGCATTGTTGTCCGACTATGTCTTGCACTCAAGTGCTAATTTGAGGATTGGTAGTGTGTTAGGTAAGTGACTTTGTGTTGTTATTCTCAACTTTTCTTACATATTATATGATATCCATGCTTGTTTGTTTGTCCACTACCCATTCGCCACTGTACATGATTTATGTTTTAGTTGTAACTTTTTTTAGTAATATGTTGGATACATTTTAGAATTTTTTTATAATATGTTTTTTACAATTTGTTATAATATGTAGCCTAGTAATTTATTTCTAAAATAGTTTAGCAGCTTTCAGATTTACGTCATTTGTTGTCTATTGGAACCAAACAAAATAGCCTTAAGTTTAGCATGAATCATGGTCATCTTATGTATTTGTATGATAATGGGTATATGTATATATTATACATAATTTAATAATTGTCTATTAGTAATAATTTATAGAAGTCTGTCTGATTTGTTGGCATTTATGGTTAATGCTCTGCTCCCTTGGGTAGTAGTAGCATGATGATATATAGCCTATAGCCTACCTCAATGAATGTAGTATCTAATGCAAAAAAAGTTTTTCAAATCGGATTAGTAGTGTCCTGAGATTAGTGCATTCAAACAAACAAACTCTGTCACTTTATAATATTAGTATAGATTGTATTACACCCGAGCGAAGCGAGATTGGGCGGCTAGTATGAAATAAATCGCGTTTAAACACCCAAAAAATATTTATAAAAGTTTCATTATTATAAAGGTTTCATACAAATTTTCATCCCATATTTTACCTCCTTCTGTGGTAAAAAGTAACCTATGTCACTCTCCAGCCCTCCAACTATATATCTCCACACAAAAAATCAAGCCAATCTATCACTCCGTTTCGACGTGAAAAACGAGAAACAAACACACTTTCACATAAATAATAGTACCTGGGCGACCGAGCTTTGCTCGGAGTTTTTGGCCAAAAAAAAAACATTAAAAAAAAACAAACAAAGAATTTAAGAATAAATACAAAAAAAAACAAAATTAAAACTTTGTGTCCGACCGGGATACGAACCCAGATACCTGTGGTTATCAAACTTGTGCATTGGCCGCTTGACCATGATGCTTATATCTGAGAGTGCGAAATTATCGAACATAATATTTTGCATGGAATTATTAATAATTAATTTATTGAAATAATGCAAAAGAAATCATAATAATAATAAAGCTCTATTTATTCATTTATTTATTATAAAGGCTTACTAACTAAATTTACATAAAAACATTTATTTAACATTATCATTTTACCTATCTGTATATACATTTAATTTAAAAGTATGCACAGCTTTTTATAAAAGTATTCCACTAAAATTTTATTTGGTTAAGAGTATATAAGGAGCCATTTTAGTTGTACAATAAAAAAAAATGTCTTTATCACATTGCTGAAATATAAAATTATATAATTTAGTGACTATTTATTAACTTATAATTTTTTAACTAATAATTTTGTAATCTGGAATTAAATTATTTTAAAAATCTTCATATTATTTGAAATGATATTGTATATATATAAATTATCATTAACAAATAAATAAATAAACAATCACAATAAATTAAATAATTCAATTGAGTAAATACTAAACATTTCACAATAATAAATATAAATAAAATTTCTTTCCATACATTAATTCTGACAATAGTTATAAATTAGGTATTTAATTTCATAATTAAATGTATTTATTTAGTAAATGTCTTTTTCATGTATAGACCCCTCTCGGTTAAAAGCCTCCTCCAAAGTAGTCCTGCATAGAGCTCTCCATTGGAGATTATGCTTGTATGGTTTCAAAGGGTTTCTTTTCAAATTTTGTTTTCAATATATAATTTGTTTCTGATATGCCTATAAAGTTTATAATTTTATCTTTGTGTTCTTTTGATTTGTTGTAGGAAATGCTGCTTTTAATTCTAGAAGTTTTTCTGGTGAAGATATGTATACCTTTGTTCATTGTATGTCTGTTTTTCTTTGGAGGGTTACGGTCGAACTCCCCCACAGTGACCGGCCGTACTGGTGGATAAAGATGAGGAGGTTCCTACGGTGTTTAATATACTGTATCTTGCTGTGTTGTTTTTAGTTGTTCCTGGTTATCATTTGTGTGGTTGAAAGTTAACTTTGGTTTTTGTAATATTAAGTCTTTAATATTACCAGGTATGGTTTTCTTTGTATGTTGTTTATTTGTTAGTTTTTGTTTATAATTGAGGTAAGGCGTTTCTGGAGATACAGGCAGACTTCTTTTTTATTTCCGTTTAGTTTAAGACTATTTTTTCCTCTAGTTCATGATAATAGTTCATGAAAGTTCTTGCGCCTAATATGTCTTTCTAAATTATTTATTGAGGTACTTTGTTCCTGGATTTTTTTCTCAAGAACTTCAATTTTTACTTCAAACTGTTTAAATTTCTCATTTAAGTATATTATTGTTGATTGTATTTTTAATGTCTTCTTTCATTTCTAACATTTCTGTTTTCTGCTGTCTTATTTCTTGTTGCATGTTTATTAGCAACTTTTTTATGTCCTCCATCTTATGTGTGAAGTTGGAAGTAGAAAAGCTGATTGAAAAAAGCACCAATTATACCAAGTTGAATTGCAATTTTATACCGAGTATTAGTTTTTGAGGTTATAAACTTATGTTTTAATATTTGACGCTTTCACTTCACAAATTATTTTGTTTTATTGTCATCACACACAGAAAAGATGGTTTTGCACTAATAGTATCTTTAAGTTATGTTTGTCACTTTTATATTTGTTTGGTAAGTGAATTTTTAAAAGCTCATTTGTTCTTCAACACATCAAGACTTGGTGATGTTTACATATTGTCCATGGTTTTATTTAAAAAAATATTTTTATTATTTAAATTTATATTTATTCTTTAGATTATTTTCACTTAAATATATTTAAACTTGATGTAAATATGGACACGATGTTGACAGTTGCACAGTGGCGCCGCCCACTCACCAGAAGTGACAATGCAAAAATTGTGAAAATGCAAAAGAAAATCGAAAATTCGAAAATTCGCGTTTTTCCAGATATAAGACTAATCTAGATCGATTTATCGCCCCCGAAACCCCCTGCATGCTAAATTTCATGAACATCGTTGGAGCCGTTTCCGAGATTCAGATTATATATTGATATATATATATACAAGAATAGCTCGTTTAAATATATAAGATTAGTATGGATATAAATGATAATGTATTGCCTGGGTAGGTCTGGGCATAGCGTACGCGGGCACGCAGCGCCAGGAGGTGCTGTCGCATCTGCTGCCCGTGTTGGCGGACACGACCGCGCCTCCCGAGATCTGCGCGCTCGCCGCCGTCGCCTGCGGCCTCATTGCGGTGGGCTCCTGTAACGGCGATGTAAGTTGTGGCTTCTCGGTTCACAAGAACCGCATACATAGAACAAGTACAAACTTATTCTATGTATGCGTTGTTAGGACTGTGATAATTGTAGTCGGGAATGTCAATTTTTTGATTTGAATTTAATTATTGTTAATTAAAGAAATAAAAATTTTAAATAATACGATAAAACTAAAAAATTAACTTAATTATCTGCACAAAACAATGTACATTATTAATTTTAAATAATTAATTTTGATTAGTAGTAGTAGTTTAGTTATAGTTTTATTTGCTGTAGAAGTATTATATCTATATTGTTTATTTTGTTAGGTAACTTGCGCTATCATCCAGCGTTTGATTGAAGACAACAAAGAACTTCACTCATCTACATATGCCAGATTCTTACATTTGGGACTTGGATTATGTTTCTTGGGTAAGGCACATGAAACATATTTTTCTATGTATAATAAAAAAACTAAAAATACCTTTACTCTATGAATCATTGGTCACACAGTAGACAATGATAGCCCAGTAGTGGTTGAAATCTCGGGTCTGCCACCTCTTATACTCTACTGTGCGAGTCATTTTAAACTAAATTACCACTTGCCTTACGTAGCAACGAAAACATCGAGGAAACATGCATGTCTAAAAGAACCTAGCAAGTGTTTGAAGACCATGTGAAGTCCAAACCGCACCTGGCTAGTTTGGTGGACTATGACCTCGACACCCTCGCTTTACGTTAATAAGTTAATGAGCTGTATAAATAATGATTAACATCAGGTTGCAAGGAACGCACGGAGGCGACCATGGCGGCGTTAGAGGTGCTGCCGGAGCCGCAACAGTCGCTGTGCCAGACCACGCTGTCAATGTGCGCATACGCCGCCACCGGCGACGTGCTCGTCGTGCAGCAGATGCTGCATATATGCTCCAAACATTATGATACTGATGTAATGGCATATTTTTATTATATTTTGAGGAATTAATTTTTTTGAAAAAAGGAACCCTTATAAAATCACCTTTTTGTCTGTCTGTCTGTTGGTAATGTAGTTTTCTATTAGATAAAGAATTTTCTGAATCAGATCAGGAATTATGGAGATTATATATATCTAAACCCTACATCAAAACTTACAACTTTACCTCTTTATAATATTAGCGTAGATCCTAAATAAAACATATGTAAAACTCATACAGTAGGTCAATATAAACCTAAATGTGCCCTTTTATTTTGAACATAAGAGTCTTTAGAATTTGTTATATTTTTCATGGTTAAAATTTTAGTAAAATATTTTCGTTTATTATACAGCTGTTATATCATAAACTTAAGCTGTATTTATTTGTTCTTAGAATGAACAATCATCAGCTGAGGATACTGCTTTCAAGAAACAGGATAAGAAAGAATCCAAAGAGGGTAGTAGCAGCAGCAGCAGCAGCAGTGCAAGTGGATCTAAAGATGACAAAAACAAAAGTATATTGAATTAATATTTATTTTTATTATTTTACTAGTGATTCGCTCTCGGTTTGCTCGGTTTCGCCCCTAGGTTGCTTCCCAATGAACACTTACACCCCCTTAAGGGACGATTTCCGGGATAAAAACTATACATCCTTCCCAGGGTCTGAAACTATGTATCTTCTTACCGAATTTCATCCAAATCGGTTCAGCAGTTTCGGAGCCTATTTGATACAAACAAACCAAAAAAAAACAAATTTTTCCTCTTTAGAATAGATTTATAATATTACATTTGGTAATAGGAATACTCAATACAGATGTCTACATTTTATAAATATGTACATTTTTCAGGTAAATCAAAGGAGAGTAAGAGTAAGGATAAAGAAAAGGAGAAAGAAAAGGAGGCCAACAAGGAGCTCTCGTCGGTGCAGGCCGTCGCCACCCTTGGGGTTGCCGTCATCGCGCTGGGCGAAGAGACTGGTGCCGAAATGTGCACACGCATATTTGGACAACTGGTCAGTGTTACATGATGTTATTCATTGTTAAACTAATACGTGAAGCAAAAACTTTGTATCCCTTTTTAAGAAAAATCAATAATAATCTTGGTCGAAGTTCGAACACTCGGCGACTATAGTTCATTGTTAAAATGATTAAATTGTTTAAGTAAAACTAAGTGTATTAAGTATCCAGGGGGAGAAGCCAACTCCTACCGGGCGCGTCCTCCAGGTGGCGGATAGGAGCATGCCACCCGCTCAGGGCCAGTAGGTACCGGAGTAATCCGGCGCGGAAAAAATGGCTTGGTGGGGGCCGCTCGTCGAGGCCTTGAGCCGAAAGGTTCGGCCAAAGGCGTTGCGGCCACCGGACGTGGGACCGCTTTGGCGGTCCCGCGATCGGATCGGGAGGTGCCGGTTGCGGGACTGTGGTGACAGGCCTGCGACCGGCTTGGGACAGGCCGCGGCGGGAGAGGAGTGCCGGTATTACGGTGCGCCGCTCTCCCTGCCCTCCGCGGCCTCGGCGGGGCCGCCACCGCTAGATAGCGGACGCGGTGGGGCTGCAGGGGAAGAGGAGTGTCGGTGTGTCGTTGCCACTCTTCCTGACCTCTGCAGCCGGATGTGGAGTAGCCCACTTCGGTGGGGGTAAAGGTGCCAGTGGGCGATCGACTTGGGGAGGTTGGCCGTCCAGTGTTCTAGCGGAGGAGGCCGTCAGGGGTGGTCGACCATCTCAGCCCCTGACTTTGGGACGGGCTTTAACAGGCACTCGCCATCGGGCCGTTGTACCCGTGGCCCCGGCCTTAAGGCGAAGGAGGTGTCTTTGTCAGATTTTTTAGTAGGTAGGTTGCCGCGCGCTTCCACCTTTGCGCGGCAGGAGCCCCACATAACCCGTCTCGCATCCCCTATCGGCGAGCGGGGTACCCGGGAACAGGGTTTTTCCTAACAAAAAAAAGTGTATTAAGTATATATTATTAGTACGTGGGCCACGGAGCTTCGCTCGGAATTTTTAGTCAAAAGTACAATTTTCTTTTAAAAAACTAAAAACTTGAATACAAAAAAAAAACAAAATATAAATTATACCTTTGTATCCGACCGGGATTCGAACCCGGGCGCCTATGAATGTGAACCTTGCACCTTGGCTGCTTGGCTATGAGGTTTATGCCCTTGTGTGCGAAATTATCGCTTCACTTCATTTGCGTGGAATAATGCGAAAGAAAACCGCAAGAAAAACAAAGGCGCTCCCGCTATTTGTTCGCTTAGATCTTTTAAACTACGCAACGGATTTTAATCCAATTTTCAGCAATAGATAGAGTGATTCAAGAGGAAGGTTTATATGTATAATACATGCATATTATATTCATACTAACCTTTAAAACGTACCGTAAACCGTTAAACGTAACATCCGTACTAATATTATAAATGTGAAAGTGTGTTTGTTTGTTGGTCTGTCCTTTTTCACGTCGAAACTGAGTGATGGATTGGCGTGATCTTTTGTGTGGAAATAGAGGGCTGGAGAGTGATATAGGCTACTTTTTACCGCGAGAGATCATCTAATTCCCACGGGAAAACACGTTATAATACTATACAAAAAAAAGTTATGGTCAGAATTATTTGAAACTTGGTATTAATGCTCTACAATAAAATAAATACGTGTTTTAGCATTTTTCGAAGTTCATCCTATGAGGGGGTAAAATAGGGGATGAAAGTTTATATGAACTACCTTTTTAGAGATATTTTTTGGAGTTTTAGCTCGAGCGAAGCCGCGGGTTCTACTAGTAGTTTTTATAAAACACATATAATTCCGTTCCGCACAGGGTCGGTACGGCGAGCCGGCGGTGCGGCGCGCGGTGCCGCTCGCCATCGCGCTGTGCTCCGTGTCCAACCCGCAGCTGTCCGTCATCGACGTGCTCAACAAGTACTCGCACGACTCCGACAACGACGTCGCATACAACGCCATCTTTGCTATGGGCTTGGTCGGCGCTGGCACTAATAATGCGAGGTAGTGATCACTAATTTTTTGTTTATTTTTCTCCTGTGACTGTAATTTTTTTGCATGTATCAGTAGCTTTTTTCGCAATATGCTTATAAAATATAGCCATTCACCTTTCTAGACAGCCTCTCTCTCTCATATTGGTGAAAACTGTATAAAAAGTCATCATTTTCTGCAATTAGCCCAACCAAACACAAAATCATTGTGAAACAATCGAAATTTATTTTAAAATATTTATTGATATAGATAAAAAATAATTATTGGAATGAAATCAATTTTGTTTAAGAATGACTTAAAACTAGTTTTCATTCCTCTTTATAGTAGAAATTCATATTTCTGTCTATGTGGTGTTATTTGTATACATACAACAAAGCAACAATAAAAATGCATAAATAATATGAACACATATTGCGATCAATTTGCCAAGCACCGTGGCTTATCACCAACAACCAAAATCCACGAGAATCTCATAGTGGATACTGTAGCTGCTGAAATAAAAAATACAAAACCAAATATCGCGACCGACTAGAGAAGCATCCATATAACCTCGCAACTGCTTTAACAAAAAGAAGTTACACAAAAAGACTGAAAAGGATTGACATACTAGATTATTGAAAAAACTAAAAATATGTATAAATATGGAGTAGATGGCACAGTGGAACCACGCACTTACTCTAAAAAAATAATCTTAGAACATATCTGCTAAAAGTAAATACTGTTCGCAGATTTCCTTGTAAAACAAAAATAAAACATAAGTTAGTAATTTATGATATTACGTGCCGCAGACTAGCGACAATGCTGCGCGCGCTGGCGCTGTACCACGGCAAGTCCCCGGTGCACCTGTTCATGGTGCGGCTGGCGCAGGGGCTGTGCCACGCCGGCAAGGGCACGGTCACGCTCAGCCCGGCGCACGCCGACCGCCGCCTCGTCAACCAGCCCGCGCTCGCCGGCCTCCTCGTTGTGCTCACGGCTTTCCTCGACTGTAAGAACAGTGAGTATACATCTTTGGTTCTAAACTTTGAAACCAGAAAAGCCAGTTAAATATATAAAAAAACGTGAGTGTGCACTTATGTACGCACGTAAGAATACTTCTTTGGCATAACAGAACAAAAATAGCTAAATATTTCATCCAGTATGTCACAACTCTCTGTTTGTAAAAGGAATGCAGCTAAGTTCATCATGTCGCTTTTTGGCTGTCGGTGTTCGCGCGCATCGTAAAAATTTTACTTTAATATGTTTTTCCAAACGTGCCAAAAGAAGTATAACTTCAAAATGTCGTCGGGTATGTTATATGTCAAAGACATTGCGGCAATATTGAATGATATTTATTCAATCTTAACATTGAAGCTAAAAAACAGTTCTCACTATACTATTAGTGAGATCAATTGTTTTTTATCGTGAGTTTCTGTTGGTATAGATTATATTTTTAATGGATCTTAAAGAACCACATACGATCCGCGAGCCGCGGTTTGCGGACTCCTTTTGTACAATAATTAATAAGCTTATTTTTGTAAGCTTTTGTAGCATGTGTGGATGTGTAAGTTGATGCTGTTTTCGAATTTCTTAGATTTAAACGTATTTTTAAATATTCAAAATAAAACAGTATTTTTGAACTTTTTCGCTAAAAGAATGTTTTATTTATTTATTAGCTGTTAAGATGATCAATGCTGCACTCATTTTGTGTACATACATCATGAACGAATTAACCACTGGACCAGACATATAAGCGGACGTACCTTTACCGATCTTGTCAGTAACCAGGGAATTTTAGCCTTGGTCGTTTTTTTTTTTTGTCAGTCTCAAGCACTTACTTGTCAACAAAACATCTCCAAAAAATGACTAAATGTTCTGTTAAATGGTGTAAAAATATAACGGCGGAAGTAGCACTATTTCTTTTCACTTGTAAATACATTATTTTATTACATTTATTGTTATTTATCACAAAATTTAATTAAATGTATAATAAAATGTCATATTATCCAACTATGTTAAATATAGTCGATATTTCTATGCATTGTTGCACGTCAGTACAAAATTCAGTCAGGACGCTTATATAATAAAATAAACAAAACCATAGAAATCTATCCTTTGAGTTATCACCACTGTAAATCAGTCTTGACTAATTGGCTTAAGTCGAATAAATATGAGGATACAGAAATGCTTTTGGAATCAATCTCCTGAATATGAAACACACACGCACATACATACACTCACACACACACACAGACACACACACACTATTTTACTAACAAATAATGTAAAACTTAATTTGCTATAACAAGTTACTTTTGGAAGAGCGAGATTGTCTGTCACAGGTGTTTTGTACACTTAAAAGGCGATCTCAACCTTATTTGTAATTTGTAAACATTTTGTTAATGAATAAAAAAAATTTTATTTTTATTATTTATTTATTATTGTTGACATTTGACAACCATCATAAAATGGCTGGATTATACCATTCAAAACAAATGACAAAACTGTCGAGTCCATTTGACATCGACTAGTGCTTGACAATGTCGAAAAATATATCGATATTTGACGAAATAACTGAACGAATTGTGTTATTTGTACAGTACAATAACATAAAATACTTTTATCACACTATCCTACAATCTGATGACAATAAATTTATAAAAATATTTTCTAAATCAAATAAAAATATAAATGGAAAAATTATAATTAGTATGTGTACTTAATTTTTATTTTATACCACATTTATATACTTTGGAATATTATTCCATTGTAATAATAATAAAGATCATTTTATTTCAACACATAAATTACACAAAATCAAACAGTAATGTTTTAGCACTAAACTTTGGCAATTTGTAATAAAACACTTTACCACTTGCACTAATTATTTTACTTTAACGATCCAACACTCACTTTTTCACAATTTGCAATCACTTTTTCTTTTTCCTAATTTCACAAATGTTTATTAAGAACTGAGCAATATTAGGACAGTGTCACATTTTTATAAACTATCCGAGACAATCAATTGCCATTTAAAATAGTTCAATAACAGAATCAACAAAATCACTTTATTTAATTAAATTAGCTTAATATTTTTTTAATCTTTACAAAATAATATTTATTATATATTAATGGAATATACACCCGATATTCATTTGTTCATTAACATTATTATAGGCCAACAGAATGTTGCCATCAATGCCATTGTATTTATATAAATCAAATTAAAAAATAATGATTATTTAACACATTATTATTGCCTCTTTAATTCATTTATTTTAATTTATTATAATAAATACAGATATTTTAAATTAAAAGATGTAAAATATCATGACTATGCTAACCAATGTCTAAAATGTCATTCATTGGTTCATCGATATATGTATTTCATCGATTACGTTCAAGCACTAGAAATATTGTATTGTGTATCAGTGTTTATAATAATGTAATAAAATCTTTGTGTGCGTTATGCGTCACTTGGTTGAACTAGTTTTCATACATTTGTATTTTATGTCAGGTCCAGTCTCTAATTCGTTCATGACATACATGTGTTAAATTATGTAATAAAGCAGAAGGACAGAAATTTTAATAGATATGTATGACAATTGTAAGACACGACTTACGACTAGCTCAAGTTTGGGTAGGTAATGCTGGAATCAATGTAAAATTTACGTCCTCATGTAGATAAAGTACTGTGTAACCCTTTAACACATTTATCTGAAACACTACCTCTATATGGATATCACTATGTTTTGTGTATGTATGTGGCTTTTGTAAGTAGAAATTGAGGTAAAAAGCACAAACAATTTGTATTTTTAATATTAAAAAAAAACAAAGACTAACATTTTTTAAGCTTCTGTGACTTAACAGGTGTATTATAATTTAGATAATAATTTTCTTTCCTTTTATTAACTTTCAGTCATTCTTGGCAAGTCACACTACTTGTTGTATGTGTTGGCTACAGCTATGCAGCCACGGTGGCTGGTAACACTTGATGACAATCTTCAGCCTCTGAATGTGAGCGTAAGAGTTGGACAGGTAAATATTATTGTACATTATTACGGATTTTTTTAATGTAATGCTATCCTAAGCTGTGACTATTTAATTAAAAAATATATAAGAATATTTACTTTATAATTAAATTAAATATTTCTATTTTTTAGGCTGTAGATGTTATTGGCAAGGCAGGAACACCTAAAACCATAGCTGGATCTCACACGCACACCACACCCGTTTTGCTTTCATTTGGCGAAAGAGCTGAATTGGCCACTGATGAATACATTCCACTGTCTCCTGTTATGGAAGGTTTTGTCATTCTCAAGAAAAATGAGGACAGTGTCATGGCATCAGTTCAATAAATATCCTTAATATAGTATTAATGTTGTAATGAATTTCATTTGCATTCATATTGTAATAATAAAAAGATAATAATGTGTTATTTGTTTTTTAATATACAATAATATTGAATGAATGAATATTTAATAAGAAAAGTAAGCACAATTTACTTTTACACATAACCCTTAAAATCATGGGCGGCGGCAGAATTATTTCCAATCTGCAAAGTACTAACTAATAATCTTTAACTTTAAAAAAAAACAAAATTTAATAAAAAATAAAAATAATATTGCATTTAGGAATAAAAAAAAATATTCATAACAATGCAATATTATTTTTCAATATTTGTGAGGAACATTTTTCATCTTTTTTTTCGCAAATATATTAAACGGGTTTTTACGAATATACTTTTATTTCTTTAACTTTTTCTATACATTTTTCTTTATGGCAACGGGATGTAAGTGTACCCCTTGTAAAAGTTTTTAAAAATATGTAGATTAAATATTGGAACATCCTTGTGTGTACTGTTATATCACATTTAAAATATTCTATTTACAGTTAGTGTTAATGAATTCTTTTAGTATACACACTAGTACTAGTGTTCATTTAGTGGTCAAAACTTGACCATAAACATTATTGAAAATTTGAAGAAAATCAAACAGAATATACCTATCTAAATTCTTCTTCTTCTTCTCCCTGCCCATTTCCCAAATCACTTGGGGTCGGCGCAGTACATCTTCAGTGTACTGCTGATAGGATTTGGCAAAAGTTTTACGACCGGCCGCCTGCCTGACGTCAACCCTCCTTGGGAATGCTATTGTCTTTTTTTGTCTGAATGGTGTTAAATATTATGCACTTTCGATTTTGTTGTGTTTTAAAACATTTTTTGTACTATTAATTCAATTATTAATGTTATTTTTGGATATATTTTAAAATAAATTTCGATTACACAATAAATTTTGTATTGACATTAATTCATTTATATCTAAATATAAAAAAAAAACAAAATTTATTGATTACACTAAAGCTTGATAGTAGCTATTAAACAAAAAGAAAATGGGGAAGATTTCTCGAAAGGAGGGCGCCACTCGTATGGCCAATTTACATTCAGTCTTAAGTTATGCAATTTATTGTGATATCTCTTTTATACCTGGTTGCTTCTATTGTGTTCGCATCTTACCTATGCAATGTATTGTCCCTGGAAGTTAGACCAGCTGAATGAAAAATTGAGAAGGAGAGGTGCATCCTGCGGTGGTCCGGACTAACTGATGGATCAGCACTCAGCCTAAGCCGGTGGTCGTAGAAACGTGAAATTTGGAGGACGTATTCCTTAATATGATGTAGGCATCCTATAAGAGAGGATTTTTCGTAATTCGTCCCCTGAGTGGGTAAATTAGAGGATTAAAGATTAAATGAAACTTTGTCATTCTTAATGTGAAATACACATAAAGTAGTTTAGCTTTATGATAAAAAGTAAGATATATTTATTTGATTTCTTTCGAAATTCATCCCTTAAAGTAGTCGTGAGCAAACTTTTTTAATGGGGGGCCACAAAGTTTAAGAAATTCTAGAGGAGGGCCAGATTTATAGAAAAAAATGCATTTTGTGTTAAAGCTTTTAATCTAATATTATAAAAACATTACAGCATTACACTCCTGTTGTAATGCTGTGCATTGCGGTGCATTACACACAAATGTTACAAATTAGTTTTACCTTAAATAATAATTAATTTAACTTTTATTCGAAGGCCCTGCCATGGTAGACGTGTGAGACATATGGAATTGTTTATGATTTTCCATAATATTTTCGAAAGCAGGTTCCAGCTGTGACAAAGCAACTTTCAGCAGTGCGAAAAGGTGTTCATCAGTAGGTTTCTGATTGAGTTTTTCCGCAATTTCATGGTTGAAAAAGTCTGCTCGCACACATAAGACGACACAAACATAGCCATAATTCATATTCATAATAAAATTCTGGGCGTGAGCAATCTTTAGGAATTCAGCTATCGGCAGTGATCTATAAAAATCTAGTTTTGTGGAATTCAAGAACAATTGCTTTAAATGGGTACTGCACTGCATTTAAATAATTTCCAACTGAATATATTGATTAAAACAAAATTAGCGTAAACCGTGCGGCTCGGTCAGTGACAGCTGGCGAGTGGCGACTGAGTTCACTCGTCCCGCCGCCCGCGCCTCTCATTTCAACAGGATTTGCGCCCCGTATTAGTTTGATAAACTAACTAGCAGATTATCAAACTAATAGTTAAACTAACTAGCAGTTTATCAAACTAACAGTTAAACTAACTAGCATTTAATCAACATAGAGTTAAAATAACTGACAGTGAAGCTAACCGACAGTTAAACTAACTAGCCGTTAATCTAACTGACAGTTAAACTTACTGATAGTTAAACAAACTGACCGGTAAACTAAGTGACAGTCAAGTTGACTAACAGTTTAACTTACTGCTAGTTAAAATAACTGACAATTAAACTTACTAGCTGTTAATAAAACTGACTGTTACATTAGTGGCAGTTAAACAAACTGACAGTTAAACTTACTGCCAGTTAAACTAACTGATAATTAAGGAAACCATCAGTTAAACTAACTTACAGTTAAGCTAACTAGCCGTTAATATAATTTACTGTTAATCTAACTGACAGTTAAACTTAGTGACAGTTTAACTAACTGAAGGTTATACTAACTAACAGTTAAAATAACGGACAGTTAAATTTACTGACAGTTAATATTACTAGCCGTTAATCAAACTGACAGTTAATCTTACTAGCCGTTAAACAAACTGACAGTTTAACTAGAGGTTATACCAACTAACAGTTAAACTAATTGGCAGTTAATTTTACTAGCCGTAAATCAAACTGACAGTTAATCTAGCTTACTCGCCGTTAATCAATCTGACAGTCAACCTAACTGACAGTTTAACTCACTGACAGTTAAATTAACTGTATGGAGGGTAGACCCTCTATAATTAACTGACAGTAAACGTCAAACAAACGAATGTCAAAGCATTTGCTATCCTCTTCTAACATACATTACACCGTATGCGTGTTTCACGCTTCCACAGTATTACAGTCACAGAGTACATTGGTATATACATTACAGTGAAGTTGGCAACTAAAATCCACAGATAACTATTCGTTTGCTATCTGGCCATTGAAAAATGCAACAATTTTATTTGTCCTTTTATCAGTCAGTTAATTCGCTAGTTAGTTATTTGTTCAGTTATTCGATGATTGATTAATCGGCACTAAGTAGAATCTAGATTATACTTCTCGACCGTCAAAACGTAATTATAACGGGCTACTATCCATGTTGACGGACCCTCGGCGGGCCGGATTAAATGCTTTCGCGGGCCGGAGTTGGCCCTCGGGCCGTACTTTGCCCATCACTGCCTTTAAAGGGATAAAAGAGGGTAATAAAGTTTATACGGGCAAAGAATTATTATTAACAGAATTGCTTGAACTTGGTACTATTGCTATTTAATGTAATTAAATAAATCGTGTTTTAGCATTTTTCGAAAATCAATCTCATAAGGGAGTAAAATGGGGGATGAAAGTTTGTCAGAAACTCTGTAATTAATATGTAAAAAAGTACAAAAAAATAAAAAAATATTCACCCGTAAACGATTTAAGAGTTTTAAATCACTGTCTATAAAATGATGTCCGCAGTCTTAAATAATTAAAGATTGTGACTTCGTCTTATTGCTTTAGCCCGCAATTTCTTCAGTTTTTGTCGTTTGGGAACAAATGATATCCATTTTCTTTGCATCTTGGCACTGCACAATTTGTCATTTTAGTTAAATTAAAAAAAATGAAAAATATTCCATCCACACAGAGCTTTACAATATACTGAGGGCTCCAGTGATTGCGAACATGGCGAGAGATAGAGGCAAAATTCTTACCCATTGGTTGACTAAGAAGAAAAAGGTATTGAACTGTTTTGTCCTTGCATATATAAATATAGATTTAAAAATAATACATATTTACTTTTATAAAGTCAAATAAAAAGATATAAATGTTTTAATATAATCATATTGTTCTAAAAAAAAATTAATATCAATGAGCTACAGAAATTAGTAGCTATTAGTTATACAACAAAAAGCAATAAATCAAACTATATTAATTTGAAAAAACTACCTTAATTTAAAAACTGTCTTAGAAGTTAAAATGACATGTTACCATAATTTTAATTTTGATTAATAGAAATTATCATAAATTGTTATCAGCTTTCTTCGAATTATCACATTCTGTTGCTTCATCCTTATCTGAATCATCATCATCATTGGTGTCAGATTGAGAAGATTTTTGATTATCGGAAGTATTATCTTTTTTAGGCCTTTTTTCTTTCATTTTTGCCTTTTGTTTTTTCTTTAGCCTTTTAGCTCTTTTTTTTGCTGTTTTTTCTTCAGCATTTTTTTTATTTTCTTCTATTTTTCTATGATATTCTTCTTCAAGTTTTTCCTATAAAAGTAATAGGCACATTTAACATAATAATAGTCAATAGTGTCACAATAGATAATGTAATAAAATTATGTTTAGGTCATTTCAAGTGTCATATTGAATGTTTTTGATAATTTAATATCATATCTCTGATCTCTGTAATGTGGATCTGTACTGATGTGGAACTAACACCTTATCAGTCATAAAAATTAACAGCAACAAAGTAACATTTAATTATTTATAGACTGTTGTAAAGTTCGTTACAATATTCTATATCCCTTAAATCGATGTCATAGATTGTACTGTTCAACCTTACAGTCTATAGAAATTGGAATTTAATTTATAGGATTACAAATTATAATGATGGACATTAAAAAAATGTAATTGTACCTTTTCACTTTTTTCTTGTATAAATTTCTGTCGGGCATATTCTTTTCTCCTGAGATGTCTATAAACATGGAATTCTCCTGAACCTGCTCCGGCGCTAGAACCCATCACATTTCGAACGAAATCTGGCGGAGGAGCCAATGATTTTGTTTTGGGACCTTCAGGTATTATAACTGGTTTGTCCTAAATTAATTAAAAGAACATTTATAATATTGTTTAAGAAGCTCAATTTATATAAGTTATTTGCATATGTGTTAAAGAAACAAAGTATTACCGGATTTTTCATTAACTTTTCCAATTTCAGCCTTTGAAGATCAGTTGCGTTTTTTATAACTACAGGCTTTTTTTCTTCAGATTCCTTGTCGCTCATTGTATTAAAAATTTAATGGAAAAATATATATTTGAGTTAGAATTTACAGTATTTACAATTATTACTACCTAATAGTAACTTTTTGGTTATGCAAATCAAAATTCAAAACAGTTGAAAATTGTAATGTCAACAATTTTTAATTGTCATTTGTCATCCATAACAACCGACAATGATGATTTGATAACAATGAGATGTAGATTAAAAATTGCTACGACAGCACTTATAAGATACAATGTATACACTTTCGCTTCGTCAATCGAGACATAATATTTTTCTTTAATCGAGACCCAGCACTGATGAAATGTCCTTGTTAATAGTATTTAAATTTATTCGATATTAAATTGAATGTTTTGTTTGCTTAGTAGATTCATTATTGACATAATTAATCGCGCACACGGCACAACCTTTCTCGTAGTGCATAATATTCACTCTAATCTTAGGGGGATTATTGTGTTAAAATTTAAAAAATGTTGTACTTAAGTAACTCACATATTGCCTAGTATCAATAATTTAATTTTATTATGAAGTAAAAGAATAATGAATTATTCAACAAAGAATATTTTATTTGCAAAATTTTACGATTCAACATGACTAAGTTGTACAGCCCTAAGTCACCTTGTAAAGGTCATATGGATACTTGTACAATAATTATTCTAGTACCGGCGAAATATCTTGCGCTAAATTCTTTACTTTAGCAATTTGCAAAGGTTAAAGAAGTCATACATTACAAACTTCTATTTTTTCGCTGAGGTCAGTAATTTTTTCTTTAATTTCTATGTATAATAATATTGTAACGTTAGGTAACATGCTATATTTTTAGTATATAAGTAAAATAGGTAGCTGACACATTTTGATATTATGTTATTTATTCAGGATGTAATCTCTTATCAAATTTATAGGAATTCTTTGACTAGATAGGTTTTCGATTAGGCGCTTGTTTTATATTTTCATTATCACTTATTAGTTATTTTAAACATAAATTACATGTATCTATCTATATATTTGGATACTTATCTCACAGATTGGTACAAATAATAGATCAGCTGTCGAAATTAATACATATGTAACTAGCGACTTACCCTCGTTTCGCTCGGGTGCGTCCCTAGGTACGTTTTAGTTTTTTTGAGCGGGACCGTAATTCTTTTTCGAAACTAGAAGTAGCCTAAGTTACTCGTTATAACACCAGCTATCTGTTACTGAAGGTCCCGTGTCGGTACAAAATTGTCCAGCAGTTTCGGAGATTCGCCGGAACAGACGAAAGATTTAAATTTCTGTTTTTTTTTTTTATAAGTACCATTTATAATTTCATATGCATTTACGAAAAAGATGTTATTCTGACATTACAAACAGACACTTCAATTTTATTTATCTGTATAGATTAATTAAATAAGTGTACCATTGCATCATAAATCCCATAGGTGTAAAAGTAACGAAAAATAGCGTACCCGTATGCATTCGTTACTATAGCATCAGTACTCGTTACTTTTGTATCGTTACTCGTTACTTTTGATACCCGATAGCATACTCGTAGAGCATCGCATCGAGTCGTATTGCGTATGTATTGCGTACGGTATAACGTTGACGTCGCGTTGTTCGTACTTTGTAGAAAAACATACAGCCGAATTGACCTCCGCCTTTTTGAGGAAGTCAGTTGAAAATATGTTACATGACATAACATTTTCGGGAGTTAAATTTAAATTACGAATACTTACATTTTGAATTGATTCACCAGAAAGTGACATTAATTTATTATAATTATAAATTTAAAATTTAAAAAATTTTGTTGAAGAACAAATGAGCTTTTAAAAATTCACCTACCAAACAAATACAAAAGTGACAAACATAACTTAAAGATACTATCAGTGCAAAACCATCTTTTCTGTGTGTGATGACAATAAAACAAAATAATTTGTGAAGTGAAAGCGTCAAATATTAAAACATAAGTTTATAACCTCAAAAACTAATAGGTACTCGGTATAAAATTGCAATTCAACTAGGTATAATTGGTGCTCTTTTTCAATCAGCTTTTCTACTTCCAACTTCACACTTAAGATGGAGGACATAAAAAAGTTGCTAATAAACATGCAACAAGAAATAAGACAGCAGAAAACAAATGTTAGAAATGAAAGAAGACATTAAAAATACAATCAACAATAATATACTTAAATGAGAAATTTAAACAGTTAGAAATAAAAATTGAAGTTCTTGAGAAAAAAATCCAGGAACAAAGTACCTCAATAAATAATTTAGAAAGACATATTAGGCGCAAGAACTTGGTTATGTTCAGAGTAGAAGAAGGTGAAAAATCCTATCATGAACTAGAGGAAAAAATAGTCTTAAACTAAACGGAAATAAAAAAGAAGTCTGCCTGTATCTCCAGAAACGCCTTACCTCAATTATAAACAAAAACTAACAAATAAACAACATACAAAGAAAACCATACCTGGTAATATTAAAGACTTAATATTACAAAAACCAAAGTTAACTTTCAACCACACAAATGATAACCAGGAACAACTAAAAACAACACAGCAAGATACAGTATATTAAACACCGTAGGAACCTCCTCATCTTTATCCACCAGTACGGCCGGTCACTGTGGGGGAGTTCGACCGTAACCCTCCAAAGAAAAACAGACATACAATGAACAAAGGTATACATATCTTCACCAGAAAAACTTCTAGAATTAAAAGCAGCATTTCCTACAACAAATCAAAAGAACACAAAGATAAAATTATAAACTTTATAGGCATATCAGAAACAAATTATATATTGAAAACAAAATTTGAAAAGAAACCCTTTGAAACCATACAAGCATAATCTCCAATGGAGAGCTCTATGCAGGACTACTTTGGAGGAGGCTTTTAACCGAGAGGGGTCTATACATGAAAAAGACATTTACTAAATAAATACATTTAATTATGAAATTAAATACCTAATTTGTAACTATTGTCAGAATTAATGTATGGAAAGAAATTTTATTTATATGTATTATTGTGAAATGTTTAGTATTTACTCAATTGAATTATTTAATTTATTGTGATTGTTTATTTATTTATTTGTTAATGATAATTTATATATATACAATATCATTTCAAATAATATGAAGATATTTAAAATAATTTAATTCCAGATTACAAAATTATTAGTTAAAAAATTATAAGTTAATAAATAGTCACTAAATTATATAATTTTATATTTCAGCAATGTGATATAGACATTTTTTTATTGTACAACTAAAATGGCTCCTTATATACTCTTAACCAAATAAAATTTTAATGGAATACTTTTATAAAAAGCTGTGCATACTTTTAAATTAAATTTATATACAAATAGGTAAAATTATAATGTTAAATAAATGTTTTTATGTAAATTTAGTTAGTAAGCCTTTATAATAAATAAATGAATAAATAAATAGAGCTTTATTATTATTATGACTTCTTTTGCATTATTTCAATAAATTAATAATTAATAATTCCACGCAAAATATTATGTTCGATAATTTCGCACGCTTAGATATAAGCATCATGGTGAAGCGGCCAATGCGCAAGTTTGACAACCACAGGTATCTGGGTTCGTATCCCGGTCGGATACAATGTTTTTTTTTGTATTTATTCAAATTGTTAGTTTGTTTTTTTTAATGTTTTTTTTTGGCCAAAAACTCCGAGCAAAGCTCGGTCGCCCAGGTACTAATAAATAAATACACTGACACGCGTGAAACACTTAATCAAGTAATCATACGCCAAAATGCCTTACATCATTGTGGAAAAGAGCTGATACTCTTACACTGCTGGATCGATATTAATCAAACATAGCTAAGAACCACCGGAAGGAAACTGGCTTTCAAATGAAAAAACTGAATCGAAATCGGTCTATCCGTTTAAGAGCCACGATACCACAGACACACGCACACGCGCGCGCACACACACACATACACACACACACACCTACACTTATAACACTCCTCTTTTTGCGTCGGGGGTTAAAAAAATACTTATACATACGTTACATACCTAGCTGCGTAAGGTGCGTTTTTTAACTTTATCTTATTTTGAACCAGACTAGTCGTCTCATATATATGTAAATCTAAATTTAGTTTGATTTAATAGATAAATTGGTTAAAACTACAAATAGACTGCAATTTAATTACCCCAAGGATTATTATTATTTGTCAAATAACTACAGAATTTTCAATGGATTTACTGTTTCGAATATTTTATCTGCGAAAACATATAATACCTATCACAATAACACTACAAATTATCATGCATTGACTAAATAAAAAGAAACGAATCAGTATCGCAAATTATTTATTGACAATAAAATTAAAACAACATTCTAACGATAAAACAACATAAAATACTTTTCTTTTTTCTTATAATGAAATTGTACATACAATAGTAAAAAATGAAACATGTAAAAGAAAAACACATTTTAAACAACACTTAAACATAAAAAAATCTTTTTTCTTCAAATGAAATTAAACTTATAAAATAAAAACATATTTTAAATAAAATTAAAACAACATCAAAAATCTTTTTTTTATAATGAAATAAAAACATTTTAAGGTCTTCTTCTCTTCTCTAAACCTTCATAAACAGCAATCAATCGAGCCTAATGAGAACGAATCCACGCTAGCTCCATCTACAGGCGATACCGACACTGATAACGACTCATTATGGAAGGAATTTGACGCTTTGACAACGTCAGCGTCCGCTTCAAACTCCACATCTTACTCTTTATCTAAAAATCTTTGGTTCATATTTAAAAATAAAACCTTTTCCATTCGTTTTGGTTTAATGGAACTGCGCTTCTCACTCAATATTTGGCCCGACTTTGAAAAAGTTCTTTCAGATGATACCGAGGTAGCCATCACCGATAAATATTTCTCAGCCAAGTTTGAGAGTTCAGGATATAGAATTTCCCGCTTCTGCCACCACTTCAAAGGGCACTCATTTCGATGAATAATGCGTTCTTCTAGGTATTGCCTCATGGTAATTATGCTGCTGCTAACTGTGGAGTTTGAAGCGGACGCTGACGTTGTCAAAGCGTCAAATTCCTTCCATAATGAGTCGTTATCAGTGTCGGTATCGCCTGTAGATGGAGCTAGCGTGGATTCGTTCTCATTAGGCTCGATTGATTGCTGTTTATGAAGGTTTAGCTGGTTTTGAAGCTCAGTTTTCAATGCATCTTTGGCAGACTCATAACTTGATGCATCAAACCTAAATGCCAGCTTCTTAAAACGCGGGTCTAACAACGCTGCTTTAGATAAAACTGGGTGCCTGTAACAATTCTTAAATCTACTTTTAAATTCTGTTATTATCTTGTTTGCCAGTTTCTTGCCTATTTCAGTAATAATATTTGTGCCTAAATTGTCAAAAACCCTAATTATGCTTTCTGTGGAAGCCAAGACCATTGAAACAGTCACTTTTTTTTCTGAAGAAATTTCTTCAGTGAGTTGCTTAAATGGCTTAAGAATTTTTATTACTTCTGGCAGTGTCTGCCATTCGCCTTCCGAAAGATTTTCTACTGGATTGTGTAGAATTCCAAGAGCTGCTTCTAAAGGTTCTTGAAGTGAACAAATTCTCTCTATCATGTCTAGGGTGCTATTCCATCTCGTGACAACGTCCATTTTTAGCTTCAATGGCTTCTGATTAGGCCTCAGCTGCTCCTGCATCGCAATTAGTTTTTTGGTAGCTACTGGACTCTTGTGGAAGTGTTCCACAATGGCTTTTATTTTTTTTACCAGCTCCTCGAGTCCACAGCCCTGGAATCCTGCACGCACGACTAAATTAAGAGTGTGAGCAATACACGGCAAATGTTCGTAGTTAAGTAATCGTATAGCCGCTTTCATGTTCGCTGCGTTATCTGTAACGCATACAAATATTTTATTTTGTATGCTCCAATAGGAGAGCAACCTATACAGCTCATTTTTAATATATTCGGCCGTGTGTCGCTCATGACACTCAAAACATCCTAATAAAGCTGACTTCAACTCCCAATTTAATAAATAATGGACTGTAACAGCTTGATAAGAAGTTGTTGCTCTTGAAGTCCAACCATCGGTGGTAATCGATATATATTTTGCACTCTCCAATTCTTCTTTTAACCTTCTTTGGACTTCTGAGTATTGAGTGTCCAATAAAGTATTGCTTAATATGTACCTTGAAATCATTTTGTAACCTGGTTCTAAGTATTTAAGAAGATCTTTAAAACCCATGTCTTCAACTATAGAAAAAGGTTGAAGGTCTTTAACTATCATTTTAAAAATTAAATCATTAATTTTTTTTTCTCTAACTACACCTACAGGACGTCTTATAAAAGTACTTAACTTAGTCTGCTTCGAATTGGTTTCATTTCTTAGAGATATCGATTTAATGACAGGATTAGTAGTTTCAGTATTTGATGAAGTTGATGGTATAGAAGCTTTCAGAACCGCTGCATCTGACACGGAGCATGGAATGATGGTTTCATAAGTTGATCTGTGTTTCTTCAGGAGATGCTTTTTCAAATTTGTAGTGGAGCCGCCTTTTATTGAATACAACGAATTACAAAGATCACATTTTGCTTTATCGTCTTTAGTCTGCGTAAAAAAACTCCATAGGTTGCTTCTTTTCTTATCCATTGTAGAAAATTGAGCTGTAAATTAAAAAAATAAGTGTAAATATATCAAACTAGCATTGCTCGCGGCGCCGCCCGCGTTCAGATTACCAAAAATTAAATTCTTAGGTTTTACATATTAGTATACTCTTACAATGCAGTTTTTGTATTTTTTCTTAGAAGTGAGATATTTTTTCGCAATAAAAAGTATCCTATATGTTGACCCGGATAACCAGTCATCAACATACCAAATTTCATGAAAATCCCTCCAGTGGTTTTCCGTGATGCGGTAACAGGCAGACAGACAGACAGACAAACATTTTAAAAACTATAGATTCGGTCTCTATATCGATAATAATATCCATTTCAATAAGATTTTCCAAAAAAAAATGTACAGATTCGGCTTAGTTACAATTTTATTATATGTATAGATATCAACAATAAATACAGCCTTTAGTAACAAAAAAACAATTAGATCTCATTATAACAACTTTATTATAATATCTCTTTTTAAATAAGAAAAAAGAAACGTAATTTTACCATTATTTTTAGTGAAAATAATCGACAATAAGATAAAACAAAAATATATCTATTTTGTAAAAAACTTACCTTGTTTCTGTTCCAATTCCAAACTTTGTCTAACCAATTCCTTTAACTAAACTTAAAGTAATAAGTAACTAAACATTAAACAAACATCGTCCTTTGTAACGTATATTTTTGAAATCACCGAAAAAGCGCGCCGCAATCCGCAATCCGCGCGCGCGGGTGCGTAATTATTATATTATCTGTGGAATCAGTCAGCAAACCATTTCAATTGGAGAGTTACATGATATCCAGAACCCAGAAATTTTAATTATTTATAAATCTATACAATTTTTAAAAACTTTACTAACAATATTTTTTTATTAATAATTTTTTAAATTAAATAATAAATAAGTAATTTATATATAATGATATTATATATAAATGAATAAGTAACGCCATCTATCGCGTTAGTGTGACGCGTAATGCATATATGTTATTTTTCAAGGTGTAAAAGTAACGATAAATAGCGTACCCGTATGCATTCGTTACTATAGCATCAGTACTCGTTACTTTTGAATCGTTACTCGTTACTTTTGATACCCGATAACATACTCGTAGAGCATCGCATCGAGTCGTATTGCGTATGTATTGCGTACGGTATAAATTATACGTTAAACCGTATATCGTTGACGTCGCGTTGTTTTCTGTGGAATAATGCACGATCAACAAACCATTTCAATTGGAGAGTTACATGATATCCAGAACCCGTAAATTTTGATTATTTATAAATCTATATAATTTTTAAAAACTTTACTAACAATATTTTTTTATTAATAATTTTTGAAATTAAATAATAAATATAAAAATAGGTAATTTAAAAATGAATAAGTAACGGCATCTTCACGTTAGTGGGACGTCGTAATGTATATTTTATTTAAAATCAATTGCGCGAATGATTTATCAAATCATAATCTGTATGTATTACACATAATCATACAATATTGTACACAATTATTATTTTAAAAGAGCCGTTGTTGAGTTTCTCGCCGGTTCTTCTCAGCAGAAAACTTTATCCCGAGCCGGTGGTAGTTCCTAACGGACTAACATTAAATTTTAAATTAAAATGTAAAATTGACGATTCAAAAGAGCTTGTAAAAGTTTATTTGAATAAAGTATATTTTGATTTCATTTGACATAATCATTTAGTAAAAATTATAGGTATTTGTTGGATAAAAAACTAAAAATGTGTTCTAAATATAATGGTTGTTTCTAATTGAAAATTGTTTCTAAACATAATTTCTAAGATCTGGAAATCATGCAACTCGAAATAAATAAATAAACTCTCTAATTTACTCATCAATGGTATTAAGTATTAACTGAAAGTTGTATTTTGCTGAATAAATAATCAATAAAAATGTTAGTACGAAAATATGTACGGAAAATGCGAGTAACGAAATGCATTCGTAAGTAACGTTTCGGTACTCGGTACTAGATGGCGTACCCGTTACTCAGTAACGAATACATACGGTTTGCTACAGCTCTAGTTATTTTAAAATTAAAATTAATTGCGCGAACGATCTATTAAATCATAATCTGTAATTGTATTACACATAATCAGTAAAAATTATAAATATTCGTTACATAAAAAACTCCCCAATTTATTCATCAACGGTATTAACTGAAAGTTGTATATTTTTGTTGAATAAAAAATCAATAAAAACATCAGTACGAAAATATGTACGGAAAATGCGAGTAACGAAATGCATTCGTGAGTAACGTTTCGGTACTCGGTACTAAGCATGGAAATGATTGCTACTTTTAAATCATTATCACGTGATGAAATTACAACAATTTTTCACGTGATTTCACCTGCTACTTTTCACGCATAGATTTTTGATTTCGACGGTCTGGTGTCACACTTTATAGTATTTGCTATTAAAATGAAGTATGAAATGTCACCAATGGCGCTACTGATGTGATATGGAGCAGAGATATAGATCTGACGTAGTTGCATACGTACATGGTGCTTTGAATGAACCTATTTTCAAACAATGAACTTTCCCTCATACTTCTACAGGCTTGGGACAGACAATGTAAAATTAAATGAATTTTAAATATATCAGAGTAATCACACGGTAAAATTGTATTAAGCTAAGTTCCATAATTACATTGGCGTATTTAAAAGTTCATTGTTTTTATGTACAATAAGAATTTTTATAAAAGAATTTTATACACTTTTTTTTTGCTTTTTGATTTTTTTGATGATTGATTTTTTTATGAGATATCTATATACAATAGTCTTCATTGCTTTTTAAAAATACAAGTTCCGCTGTTCGTTTTCTGCTTAATCGTGCTCTTTTTTGGGTTGCAAAATTTCCCGCTTTTGAAAATACTCTCTCACACTCCACTGATGTCACCACGATGTGACAGTGCTCATGAAATATTTCCGCCAAATTGGGGTACATATAGGAGTGAGATTTCCACCAAACTAATGGCGAAGAATCCCGCGGAAGCACTGGTTCATTAATAAACATTTCTAGCTCGTTCTCAGCGTTGGTGGTTATGTCTGTACGTATTACACATAATCATTCAGTAAAAATTATAAGTATTTGTTGGATAAAAAACTAAAAATGTGCTCTAAATTTAATTGTTGTTTCTAATTTAAAATTATTTCTAAGCAATATTTCTAAGAATCCGAAATCATGCAACTCGAAATAAATAAACTCCCCAATTTACTGATCAACGGTATTAACTGAAAATTGTATTTTGTTGAATAAAAAATCAATAAAAACATCAGTACGAAAATGTATACGGAAAATGCGAGTAACGAAATGCATTCGTGAGTAACGTTTCGGTACTCGGTACTAGATGGCGTACCCGTTACTCAGTAACGAATACATACGGTTTGCTACAGCTCTAGATTTCACCAAGTTGTGATTTGTAGCAGCCACTATGAATTTAAGTAGCAGGTGTGACGTATGATTACGTATTTCACGTGATTTTTCACTTGCTACTCGTGAAATGTTCCATCCCTACTCGGTACTAGATGGCGTACCCGTTACTCAGTAACGAATACATACGGTTTGCTACAGCTCTAATAAATCCAGAAATTCATTTGTCCATAACAGGTGTCTTCTGAGTTTTATAGCCAAAATGCCTATCAAGTCGATTAAAGCACGTCAAATATTTGACTCCCGTGGCAACCCTACTGTGGAAGTCGATTTAGTAAGTATTAACAAAATTATTAATAGGAAAGTAAGCAGATTATGTAGTTAACAGTAGTAGTTAATAAATGTCATTATTATATTTGTCTTTAAAAATTTTACCAGGTAACTGAGTTGGGACTTTTCCGTGCAGCGGTACCCTCAGGAGCATCGACTGGTGTACATGAAGCTTTAGAGTTGAGAGACAATGTCAAGGGTGAATACCATGGCAAGGGTGTTCTTACTGCCATTAAGAATATTAACTCAATCATTGCTCCGGAACTGGTAAAACAAAATCTGGAAGTAACTCAGCAGAAAGAAGTAGGTGTTTTATATTCTTGTTGATATGTTATATATTAGTTATCACCTACAGTGTATTTTAATATTTAGTTTTGTAGAGTGCAATATTACAAAAAGATTAATATTACAAAAATATTACAAAAAAAAGAGAGTATACATTTTATAATTAATTATTCTAGATTGATCAATTTATGCTTGGTCTGGATGGCACAGAGAATAAGTCTAAGCTTGGTGCCAATGCAATTCTTGGTGTGTCCCTAGCTGTAGCTAAAGCTGGTGCTGCCAAGAAGGGTGTGCCTCTTTACAAACATTTAGCTGACTTGGCAGGCAATAATGATATTGTATTACCGGTACCAGCCTTCAATGTTATCAATGGTGGTTCTCACGCTGGTAATAAACTGGCAATGCAAGAGTTTATGATTCTGCCCACAGGTATATTCCAAATACATATCTATAGTAATATAATAAAGAGGTAAATTTTGTGAATTGTGAGTTTGTGAAGTTGTAAGAGTAATCTCTGGATCTACTGAACCGATTTAGATGAAATTTGGTAAGACGATAGTTTAAGACCCTGGAAAGGACATAGGATACTTTTTATTCTGAAAATCATCCCTTAAGGGGGTGAAAATGGGGATGAAAGTTCGTATGGGGAATAAACCTATGGACGAACCGGAACGAAGCGAGTGTGAGTCGCTAGTATTGAATTTTATTAACACTATGTATATAATTTATAATATTCATTGATAACTCACTAATATAATTTTATTAATTCATTTATGTTTTTCATAGCTCTTATAAAAATGATTACAATATTTATAGGTGCTGCTTCATTCAGTGAGGCTATGCGTATGGGCTCTGAGGTTTACCATCATTTAAAGAAGATCATCAAAGATAAATTTGGCCTGGATTCAACAGCAGTAGGTGATGAAGGTGGTTTTGCACCCAACATCCAAAACAACAAAGATGCTTTATTCCTTATTCAAGATGCGATTAAACAAGCGGGCTACACTGGCAAGGTAAGGAATGATGAAATGATAATCTTAATTCTTAACTGTATAAATTGTTTAGTATAGCTTTATTTGATTATCCATTTATATTTGTTTTAACAGATTGAAATTGGTATGGATGTAGCTGCATCCGAATTCTTCAAAAATGGCAGCTACGATCTTGACTTTAAGAACCCCAAATCTAACCCAGCGGATTTTTTGTCATCTGAAAAATTGGCTGAAGTTTATCTAGATTTTATTAAGGACTTCCCTATGGTGTCCATTGAGGATCCCTTTGATCAAGATGACTGGTCTGCCTGGGCGAATCTTACTTCCCGCACACCTATCCAGATCGTAGGAGATGACTTGACGGTAAGATTTTATTTTTCATATGTCTAATATATAAAGTTATATGTAAAAAGTGAATCTTACATTCTAAATACTATAAAATAGTATCAAGTGATTATAAATCATATTTCATCATTTATTTAAACTTTTTTTTGTTTAGGTGACAAATCCAAAACGTATTGCCACAGCTGTTGAGAAAAAGGCTTGCAACTGCCTATTGCTTAAAGTAAATCAAATTGGAAGTGTCACAGAGTCGATTGATGCTCATTTGTTGGCCAAGAAAAATGGATGGGGTACCATGGTATCCCACAGGTAAAATTATCTACATTATGTAACAAATAACAATTGAAGATAAAATTGCGTATGTCTTGATGTTGTTGCTTTAATTATATTTGTTGATGTTACTGTTAACCTTAAGATAACATGTTTATTTACTAGATAAAAACATTATAGTGAAACTTTGTGCTTATATTTTGGTAGCAGTTTACTGTAGGTAAGTGTTCTTATTTTTCAAGGTCTGGTGAAACAGAAGACACATTCATCGCTGATTTGGTTGTTGGGTTGTCTACTGGCCAAATAAAGACCGGCGCTCCTTGCCGTTCTGAACGTCTGGCCAAGTATAACCAGATCCTTCGCATCGAGGAGGAACTTGGAGCAGCCGCTAAATACGCTGGCAAAAATTTCCGCAGACCTGTTTAAATGTTACACAAATTAATGTGTAATCTCAAGAGTGTAATCAATTTTAATGCTTAGATTAATAGATTTTACTCTGATTTAATGTACACGTAAATATTATTTGAATATGTAGAATGTCATTGTGGCGCTTAAAACAGTTATCAAGTTTCCAATGAAATTATGCTGTTTTGATTGTTTGAAAGTGTGTATCTATTTAAGAGAAAGTGAAATTATAATATTTATTAAATTTTAATGTGTATGTTTTTTCGTTGCCCATTATCTCTATATTTAAATTCTTTAATTTATATTCATATCTACTCTTATAGAAATATGAAAATAAGAAATACAAATGACTCAAGAACATACGCTTGCGTAAAAAACCATATTTTTTTATGACGCTGAGGAAATCTATCGGTCGTCAAAGGGCAGAGGAATGTGATTCTTATTCACTAAAACCCAAAGCGAAACACTACAACCACCCCGCAATGCATTTACGCTGTAGCAATATTACTCTATGATTTACGCATACCACCTGTATACATACATGTGGTTGTTGGTACTAAAAGGACTAAGTTAAAACCCAACTGAAGCTCCCCCGTCTTAGTGGGGCGTCGCAGGATCACTTACGCATTCAACTACGACGCCCCGACGGCAGGTCTGCCGGAGTAGACCACAACAACCATGGGGTTGCTCCAAGGTCCACTCTGCTATCAGAGAAGTACCAGGAGCAACCTGCATGGTACACCGCCCACCAAAGAGGGCCACCTTCCACCGAAGTGGGTCACCTCCCTGTACGTTTCTTGGCTTCGCGCCCGTTGGATTGCCGGGCACTACTGAGGCCAACCACGACAAGGTGAACGCACGTTTTCTCGAGAACCTCTAATGGAACCCTCGGATATATCTTATCATTTACATTAATTAACCTTCTTTATTGTATTACTTGAATACTAAACCAGGAAGCTTCTAACTCCGTAGTGATCAAACAGTTTCCTCATCAATTAAATGTATTCATTATTAAAGTGAAACTTCTTTAGAATCGTTACTTGAAACTCGATAAAACGGAAAGGCGGTACGAGAAGGAGACAACACAAATATAAAGGATTAAAACCAGCAAAAGAATGATATAAAATGTCTAAAGTACAGGAAGTCAAAAAATAATACTGAATAATAACAGAATATTATTATGTAATATATGTTTAATTTAACTTTTGAACTTGTTAAAAAAAACTTATTACTTAAAATAAAAATGAATATTTATTTTATTATTGTCAGATGAATGTGCATAAATTAAATAAAAGCTTTTAAGACTAATTGTTGCCATGGTAACCGTTGTTATGTCTGACAAATCTATACATATGTATAATAAAATTGTAACAGCCGAATCTGTACATTAAATATTTTTGAGAAAGTTTATTGAAATAGACAATATTATCGATATAGAGGCCGAGTCTATAGTTTTTAGAATTTTTGCCTGTCTGTCTGTCTGTTACCACATCACGGAAAACCACTGGAGGGATTTTGATGAAATTTGACATGATGATAGCTGGATATACGGGTCAACATAAAGGATACTTTTAACTGCGGGAAAATAGAAATCTATACTAAACGTTAAAACGTAAGTAGGGACGAACCCGAGCGGAGCGAGGGTGAGTCGCTAGTATATAATATTTCCGTTTTTTTTTCGTGATATCTATAAATCGTCAAAACAAAGTTTATTATTGTGTGTTCAAAATTTATTTCGAAAAATATCAGAAAATTACATTGAAACTTTGAGTAAATACTAAAAAATTTTTTTAAAAAGAAAACTATCGAATGTGTATATTACAAGCCGTCCGCGATAAACATAGCATTCCCAAGGAGGGTAGATGTCAGGCAGGCGGCCGGTCGTAAAACTTTTGCCAAATCCTATCAACAGTAAGAAAGATGTACTGCGTCGACCCGAAGTGATCGGGAAATGGGCAGGGAGATGATGATATGATATACTATAAATATTTTATTGAGATATTTGCCAAAAAAGTTTCACTTCTACCGTGAGTGAATAGCATACACTCACACTCAAGATCCAGGACCACCACAGGATGCACTTCTCCTTCTCAATTCTTCTTTTAGCTGATTTAAATTCCAGGTACGATACATTGTACAGGTAAGATACGAACACAGTAGAAGCAAAAACCAGGTACACAAGAGATATCATAATAAATTGTTTAACCTCAGTCTAAATCTACATTCATCATACGTGTAGCGCCCTCCTTTCAAGAAAACTTCCCCATTTTTAAAGAAAAATAATGTATGCTCTGTGGAAGTCTAATAATATTCTAGTCTGTACTCTGAGCTAATTTCACAAAATAATTGGAGAGTAGGCCATAGAGTATATTGCTACATATATAAAGAGTAGGCTGTGGGACTAAATTTGACATTTGACAAATTAAAATTGATATTTGACATTAAATTTTTGTAGTCGGAAAATATCTTGTTCATTGATACAATTATTATATCCATTTTATTTAGATATTAAAACCATGGTACGTGTTACTGCAATACTATCCAGAGTTCCTGTTATTAAATTTCGAAAAGGAGTGGGTTCAGCCAATGCTCCTGCGGCTCACTCGTCTCCAGCAAGTCCTGGTTCTGCAGCTCAAGCAGTAATAGCTTATATCATTTATTTATGAAAAAAAAAATACTTTTTACTTAAGTAGTAAACGTTAGATATTATATTTAGGGCTCAACTGTACAATCTATGACATCGAGTTGAAACTTCATATTTTTTTCCCTAATAGATCTTTCTATTAGAAGCCTATATATAACGTTTGAGACCGCGGAAACAAAGTTTTGTAAAAATTTTTTTTTTAAGTTTTAACTTTTTATGTAATTTTACACATATAAACACGCACATAACGATGTTTTTCACAAAGTTACAATATTTTTTTACAAACATTGTCAAATTAATATTACAGTTCTATATGTGTTAAATGCAATAGTTAAATAGTAAAGTCATGTAATAGTGAAATGAAATATATCACAAATTGTTAATAACTAATATTGAATTTGTAACTCAGTAATAGGTCCAAGAGAATTATATATTAAAATATAATAAAATTGTTTCAGCCTGTGCGAGCCCAACCTGCTGCAGCTATGAGTAGTGCTACTATTTCTGACATAGACCTGCCCTTACGCTACAGACGGCGACCTATTTCCCAGGAGGAGATTGATTATATTAATGGAGGAGGAGTTGTTTAGTGATGATATTTTTTTTAAGTAGTTAATATTTAAATTTAGTTGTTGAGAGTATTTAACATTTAGTTTGTTCCATATTTATTCATCGCGCAGGATTGTTGCTATGGGTTGTCTTATTGCAAAATTATTGTTATGTAATATGAAATTAAAGATGAATATGTTATACATTCTTGGTCATTAATAAACCTTTGGATACTTTTAGCAATAATGGTAGGGGCTCAGAATAAATTATTTTATCATACCAATCACATCTCCGTGTTATCTAATTCTGGGATACAAAATGACGGTCGAATAGTTTATCGAATACAATATATCCGCAAATCGTTACAGCGTTTGGACGTTTAGAAGGTTATCTGGATTAAAGAAAGGTCGCTCAATTTTAGGTTTTGTTTTTTGTTTTGTTATGACTGTCTAATGGATGGAATATTTTTTGCTTTATTTAATTCATTACTTTTTGAGTTAGTGCTCTTCCGTGAGAGCTAGTTTGAGCTTCCGTGAGAAGCAGTAATTTAATAATTTAATAGTCCTAGTGCTAGTACACTTCGTTTTGCGTTTTTTTCGGAAAAGCCACCTATAACTAGAGATAAATTTAAAAAGCAAAATTTTTTCTCTATTAAAAAATTTGATCCAAATCCTTAGAGCCGTTTCCGAGATACAAAATAATATGAAAAAATGGTAATAAAATGAAAAAATGGTTCTTTTTTAGTTCGACAGGAGAAGGTATAGACATATTATTTACAAATCATTGTAATTGTATTTTGATATCTGAAGTACAAACATAGGAGTTGTAAAATATTTTGTAGTGTTAATTTTTTAATCTACTTTCTATTTTTATGTGTGCTATCATTTTAGCAAACAACTACACTCGCGTGCAACTGAATCGACTCAAGCCATATATTGGTATAAAAGTTCTATTTTTAGGAAAATGGCTTATCCGATTTTCTTGTTTTTTTTTGTTTGAAAGCCTAATCTTTTCTCCTAAAAAATGCTATCCTAATGAGAAAAATCGGTTGAGTATTTATTGATAAAATTTAATTTGACAGAAATGCATAAAAAATGAAAACAACAACATAATGAATAAAAAAATTATTTTTAATAAAAGTAAAGAAAATTAAAATTTTCAATACTTTGTATTGCCTCCCCTAGCTTTTATAACGGCTTGCATGCGATTTTTCATTGATTTTATCAATTTTTTGATAAAATCTTGAGGTATCGTATTCCATCCTTCCTCTAGCGCAGTTTTGAGCTCGACGATGCTTGATGGAGCCGTATCTCTAGCTCGCACCCTCCGTTTGAGCTCGGCCCTATAAATGCTCAATGCAATTCAGATCAGGACTGAGGGCTGGCCACATCATCGTCTCAATTGTAACAACAAAGTGCACCTCTTGAAGAAACTGGCGAGTAACACTTGCTGTATGGCACCGAGCATTATCATGCATCAATAGAAAATCTTCTCCTATGTACCCTGCATAAGGTACAACATAATCGAGGAGAATGTTTTCCACGTACTTTTGAGCTGTTAGACCACCACTCCGACCACCACCAGGCACGAAAACAAGCTCGGTCTTCACTTCATATGATATTCCAGCCCACATCATGACTGAACCACCGCCATATGATACTGTTTCAGCGAAACAGCATTGCGAGAACCGTTCCCCTGGACGCCTGTCTCTTCTGTCGTTGCCACGGAGACACATTCTGCTCTCGTCAGTGAACAGGATGGAGCTCCATTGCTCAATAGTCCAACTGAGGTGTTCACAAGCAAATTGAAGTGGGGCTTGACGGTGAGCTGCGCTCAGTTTCGGGCCTCTGGCTGGCCGTTTAGGAGTTAAATTGGCTTTCTTCAGGCGTCTTCTAATTGTCCACTGACTGACAGCCACTCCTCGAACCCTTCTGAGCTCCTGTTGCACATCAACGCCCGTGAGATGACGATTTCTCAACGAAGTTGAGACAATGAAGCGGTCGTCCGTCTCAGATGTGCTCCGGTGTCTATTGGTTTGTGGTCTCCGAACGAAGCCACCAGTCTCTTGAAACCTTCTGTATACTCGTGAAACAGCTGATTGGCTCATGTTAAGTTCACGAGCGACTTGCCGTTGATTGTGGCCCACTTGCAACAAAGCTACAACTTGGGCCGCCGCGCTGCTTCTGAGATAGTGTCCATTGGATCGCGATTAAAATACTGGGAGCTTAAGGAGGTGTGTGCCTGTCAACGTCTGACGAGTGACTGATAAGAAATATGGGTCACGTGAGCTTTTATACATGATTTAGTCTCGCAACTCGTGGGTACCGCAACGAGTAATTTCTGTAACGCTCATGTGTGACCGTATTTATTTAAAAAAAATTGTCATTGTTTATTTGAAAATTGCTATATGTATTTATGAAAAAAAAATGTCTTTCGAATAAAAAAACTTTTACAAAAATCGGATAAGCCATTTTCTGAAAAATCAAACTTATATACCAATATACGGCTTGAGTCGATTCAGTTGCACGCGAGTGTAGTACCATGAATATGAGATTAGTAGGTATAGTATTAGAGCTGAGGCTATACATATTATTGATTGATCTGTAAATGTACAAGCAGACAAACAAAATTGAAATTTTAAAGACTTTGTGTAACTTAGAAATCAACCTTCTGATAAATTATCTCTTGATACAACAAATGTAAAAAATTAAATTTATCTTAAATTCAGGTTCAAGTCTTACATAGAAATGTCAAACTTCCATAATGTACAAGTAATTATTGTATTTATTTTTCAGAAAAATCCAAATGAGCCTATTTTAAAAAAGCCACCAACATATGCTTTGAAGGTACCACGTAATATTGTTGTTCAATATGGAAAGAAATCAGAAATGATATCATTCAAAATTCACCTAATAGAATCTGGGTAGCAAATAAAATTAACTGCCTTTATATTGCATTTATTTGGAGCATACTCTTTATATGTATAGTATGATTTCCTTTAATCTTATGGTAAGTACAAAAGTAAATTATTTTTTTGATGTGTAGTTGTATAAGATGTATATAACATATGATAAACTTATAATAAGGAATATTCTAATAATATCTAACATTGAGTTTTTCCTTTTGGATGGCCCACATCTGTGAAGCCGGCCCATCGTACGCACCATTGTCGTTTCTATCAAATTTTATTAGACCAAATTTTGCAAATCTTTTCTTCCACTGTATAGAATGAGGCAAATTCAATAAAGCTTCAGTAATGCGATTTTTGGTTTCATCTGGAACAAATTTTATACTCATTCATGCTCGCTCGGGTGCGATTTTACGTGCGATTTAGGTACGATTTTGTTCACAATTTCATGGGTTTTAAATTTTTGCGCGAAACCCTATAATACTTTTTTTTTTAAAAGTTTCCTAAGTTATTCCTTATAATATCAGCTATCTGCCAGTGAAAGTCCCATCAAAATCGGTCCGGTCATTTCGGAGATTACCCGGAACAAACAGACAGATTAACAAAAATTATAAAAATATTTTTTTCTTATAAGTACCTTAAATATACTTAATTTAGTACCTTAAATATAATAATTAATTTAATAATACCTTAAATAATTTCATGTGCATTTAGTATAAACTTGTTCTTTTGACAATTACAAACGGACACTTTAATTTTATTTATCTGTATTGATTAGTATTTTTCATGTTATCAATAATTATCGAATATTAAATGCAATATGTAAGTATTTATTATAATATTTAACAGTATACCTGGTAGTCTGGAGTTAACTACAATTGGATAGGGCGGCAAACGCCCCAAAGTTTCCAAGGTAATAATCTCCTTGCCTCGGTCTTGCATAAATTTCTTTGAATATAGAAGTGTTGTTGAATCAACTGCTGCCCATTCGGCCTGCTTAGATAACACCATTTGTGCCGATGCCAAATGCGAACCAGACTCTGTAATAATTCGCTATTTATGAGAGCAAGTAATAAAGCATTGTGAAAATAAGTTCTTTTACGCACTAGCTAGAAAGATCTTAATTCACATATTATAAATTATTAAAAAAATGGAAAAGATAGTTTTACCTAAAATGTCAAATATTTGCGTAAATCTAAAAAAAGCACTATGTGAAACAGGAACAGGAAGTTGTCTTTTAAGACCTGCTAAGTTTCCCCAGCAGAGCAAAAAGGCTAATAAACACGAAGACGTTCGTTTTAATTTCTACACTACACTTGCCTTTAAAAAGTTTAAAATATTTGTAACAGAGATATAACTAGTAGAAATTTCATCTAAATTTGAATACGAACTACGAAATTTTACAACACATAAATGAGAAAAGTTTTCGCGTATTCAATCGAAAACTTCACTAATAATTTAACTATGAGGGACATGAATTGGTATTGTAGAGCTTGAACGATTAATTGACAAGAGCTGAGGCAGAAGTAGGTAATTAATATTTAAATTATTTCTGTATCGTAGTGTTGACAGAATTTTACAAAGATTTATATCGATTTTATGAGATGATATGTAACAAATAGTAGATAAATACTATCACAATACTTTAACCTAACCGTGTATCAACATCCATAATTGTTCACGATATTTTCACACGACCTTAGTTTTATGAGGCCTCATTACACGGGAATTCCAGCTGTATGTTGACAACATGAACGAATTGTGGCTAATTCGTTAATGGTTGACAATATATTACTTCTAGCTAAGTGAGAAATGAAACTGTGCAAAACAAAAAGACTCATTGTAATTTGTCCGTGTAAATTTCGAGAGATATTTTAAAGTGAGTTTAAAAAATTAAAATTCTATTTCAAACGTTTCACAATTCCGTTTCCGTTAAATTAGATTCCGTTACTATATTATAATATACGAGCTGTTGTTCGCAGCTTTGCGTACGTCTCGTGAAGTTTGTCGCCTTTGATTTTCCAAGTATGAAAAAATCATTAAAAAAATATTCGTGGAATTATCGAACAAACTTAGGTAGGTACTTAATAATAACGCCTACTTTTTACATTAAAATCTATGGAGTGATTTTCTTAATAAGAGAACTTTCACTAAATATTTATGTCATATTCAACGAGTAGAGACACCAGCTGTCTTGCAACGTTCTACAGTCTACTATCTTTAAGTAGCAGAAATTGGAATAAATGATATAATTATAACTATTACAGATACGTTATGTTTGTTAATTAGGTATTATTAATAAAAAAATGTTTTAGAGAAACATTATCGCGCATTTATAAATATCTTGGTGTAAGTTACATATATTTTCATTTATCCTATCATACTTAGTAGTGATCCAAAGAAAGAAGCGTTTTCCCCTTTTTCTTTTAATGTTTTGAGCACAATTTTACTTCCACTGAGGGATTCCTCATTGCTGCATGCAAACGTACATCCTCTTAAATCCAATAAAGTATTAACATTGTGAGCCCTGAAATAGAAATTCACTTAAGCCACACAGAACACATAAAACTCCTACAACTTTACGACATGGAACTCAATAGTGTAATAAAATAGAAGTTAGAAGCACTCGTTATCTGGAGACTTGACATGCTTGATAACAATTCATTTATCTACATATTTACTTTTAAGACATTAAACAAATTTCATATTTTAAAAATATAATTGCATATATGGGCAATTAGGTACGTTTATTCGATGATATAACATTAAGTATTTCTTAAATCCAAGTAAGTACTTGTAGTTATTATTTAAATCGAAGCGTATGCAGATAAATCAACTGAAAAAGCTCTAAAACGCCTGTGTTATGGATTTAGTTTTATTACAAAAAAAACTGACACAGATTTTTTAATTTCAGTTACATTTCAAAAATAAAATCAATGATACTGACTCACTTTGAAATATTCCCCAAAACTGATGTATAGGTATACCCAATAGCTAAAATGATAATTCTTTCAGAAAGTTGCCCTATAATTCGAACATTTTTGCATGCAAGCCATGGCTTGTCACCCGGCGCGTCGGTTGACAATTTGCCACTAAAGTCCTTTATATAATTTTCTACACTAATCAATGTTCTTAGCTAGGTAAATAGCATAATATGTACTTGTTTTAAAAGAAAGTAATAATTGTAAATCTTACTTTTTATCGCTGTGTATGATTATGTCGGAGAAGTAGCCGGGTTTGTTTTCTACATTCATTTGATGGGCGAACACCGGAGTGACCGGAAGTAACTCTATAAACTCATTTTTAGTGTCGCGTAACTTCATATAGGCCGCTGCGGTCATGAACGCTGTGGATATATTTAAATATTTAGTTTTATATAATACGATTATGTCGATCCACAATTTATGTTTGCTACTCTGGAATATTTACTTCATTGCATTATTGTAAGCATTATCAATAACGCTCTAGTTTAGCGACGCCATATCTACTTATATTTGTTAGGTATACTGGATCGAAATCTATAGTTTTTAGAATATTTGTCTGTCTGTCTGTTACCGCATCACGGAAAAAACACTGGAGGAATTTCTATGAAATTTGGTATGATGGTAGCTTGTTATCGTGGTCAACATATATATAGGATATGTATATATATATATATATACCTATATATATATCCTGTATATATATATATATATATATATATATATATATATATAGGATATTTTTTACTGCAGAAAAATATCTCATCTCTGAGAAACCTATACTAAACGGTAAAACGTAAGTAGGGACGAACCCGAGCGGAGCGAGGGTGAGACGCTTGTAATAAATATGTTGGGACATTAACATACAGCACTATCTAGATCCATGGTAAGCTACGAGGCTTGTGTTATGGATACCAGATAGTCGATACACTACACAATTATATAACTTTAAATACATACATATTAGAAATATGAACACCCATGACTAGAGTACAAACATTCGTGCTTATCACACAAATGCCCCCAGCGGGATTCGAACCCGCGACCGCTGGCACAGCAAGTACAAACTGAGCCAAATGTGTCGTCAAATTTGCCATAGCTATTTTAGAAATAAGATTAATATGAATCTTCCACATCGAGGATCACGCCGGTAAAGAATACCTCTTATTCAATAAAATCCAAAGGGAAACTGCTGTTTGAAAGTGGCTTAACTAAGCATGCATTCCAATTAATTATTCAATCTTGGGGTGCGGAGATTACTCATTATTATCTCTTGCCACAAACAATTTGCTTTAACATTAGGCCGCCTCGTGTTTCTTTCATTAGTAGGTAGTAGCACAGATCATATAATACTATACTAGGTAGTAGGCACCAGGTCGAACCGGTTGGAAAGACAAGTAGTGCAATTAACAGACCTGATCTCTTCACCAAGGCTAGGTTATTGTCAATTTAAAGAACATATAAAATAATAATATTAATTAAATAATTAAATATAAACAGAAATTCATACCTAAATCTACTTTATTAGTGGAGAATGGATCAGGTCGTCCAGGAATCGGGCCAGGACTTCGGCTTTCGTATTGTAACACTGCGTGACAATCCAGGGCCTCCTCCAAAAGTTCTAAAACTAGTTCATACAATTCCACTGGATGTGTCGGACACATATAAGTTATTACACACAGTTCTTGTTTTACTTTGGACATTTTAAATAAAATTTGTATTTAAAATAAACAACTGGTAAAGTAAACGTGAAGTTTCTGTCCTGTGAATTTAATGACTAAATATGTTTTTATAATGAAAGTCAATAGAATAAATTTGTTTACTGTCAATTAGTAATATATGATAAATTATGTCACGAGTATGTTCACGATTTATCAGGTTTCTTGTAATGCGGCTACAGAAAGTAATAATATGACGTCACGTGCTAAACACGGCTTTGTGGCGTGTATATTATGTAAACAATGCGTGTGCACTGTGCATCTACCGTGCTAGACGGTAGACAAAGATAAAATACAGGAAGGTAGTACCTGATTGTAATAGTAGCCGTTTATAACGTGTATAAAGTAAAATAAAATCTTCATAATAATTATTGGACAATTCAATTACAGTAAAAGTTCTCTATTCGCGGTGCCGTTATTCACGGTATCAGCATTCGCGGAAAAAAAAATTGAGACCCACTTCCTGTATTTGTGGCTGAAAATTTTGTTATTCGCGGATACATAACTTACGATTATGTATAAGTAAAATTTAAAAAGAGAGATTCATTATTAAATATTGAACTTTTTAATAAAACCAACACCCATTGCATAAAAGACCCGATGGAAAACACTTGTTTCGTCTAAATCAAGGAATTTGTAAAAACTTGATGAATGTGCAATGAAAATCCTTTTATTTTGAGTAAACAATCTTAAAAGGTCGTAAAACTTGATTTTATTTTTCTTCAATCTTTTGTTTTGTTTGAAAATACAGATGTGCTTCCAAACTATTGGATGGTAGAGCATGACGTCAATCGCTACGGTTAAAAAAAAATTAGCCGTCTTTGGAAAAAAAACCATGTTTTTATAAAAACTTTTAAAAACAAAATAAAAACCGACTTGAAGGCACTAAAATGTGAAAAATAACTAAACGGGGGTTTTCATTTAGAATACATATGTAGATAGATACCTAGTCAGATATTTTAGAAGTCGGCGCCAGCCGACAATATTTTAAGATATGAATGTCTAATAGGTAAATATGATTTGGTATGAAGTCTAATTATAGTTAAAATATTAGATACAGTCAAAGCTCCTTATTTGCGGGGTATACGTTCCAAAATTATACCGCGAATACCGAAACCGTGAATATGAGATGGTGATTTGTATGGAAATGTAGAGGCTGCGTTCCAAGGTAATAAAAATATATATACTTATGTAATAAAAAAAGTTTAATAATAAGAAACAGTTCATTACAGTGCTATCAAAAGATATTAACATTAGTAATTATTGTTTGAACTATGTATTTGGTTTGAAATATTTTAGTGGTTTTTTCTTGCTTTGTCTCCTTTAAAAGGTTTTTTTTATTCCGCTTGATATACAGCTGAGACTTAATCAAATTGTGTTTTTAACCGTCTTCCAAAAAGGAGGAGGTTCTCAATTCGTCGGAATCTTTTGTTTACCAATTACTCCGAAGACGCCTGAACCGACTAGGAATTTTTTTTTGTTTCGAAGGGTATACTTACCAGTTGGTCCCATTTAAATTTTATCGAAATCGGTCAAGCGGTTTTTTAAAAAATCAGCAAATAATTTTTTTTTTAAATAAATTGCTCGAATATGTTATTAAAAAACTTTCTTCTTACAAATAACCCGCTTATTACGTCTACACTAAAATGTAAAAATAAAAACTTAAAAGTAAAAAACAACCGACTTCCTGGCACTAAAATGTAAAAAATAACTAAACGAGGGTTTTCATTTAGAATAGATACATAATCAGATATTTTCGAAGTCGATGCCAGCCATATTGTAAACTTTTTTTAGGGGTTCTAGAGACTTTTAAAGGATTCTAGAATTCTTATTCTCTTTATCTAAAAATAGAAGTTATAGAATTACTCATATAATTTTTGTCTGCCCCTTTAGTTTTTTAGTAGGTAAGTACCTAGTCCTTTTTCTCAATATTGAATTTGAAGGGCGAAAAGGTAAATATATTTTTTTGTACTTTTAAAAAATACTGTACTATAACTGTAAGATATGAATAAAATATAGTATTTGAGCCAAAATTCCAAATAAAATATGAAAATTATTTATAGAAGCAGCTAAGAATTTTATTTTATAGGCATTTTAATGCGGGAATAATATAAATAATGCAATTCAAAATTAAGCAAAAATACAAACACATTTGCAGGGCCGGATTATCCATAAGGCGGATTAGGCGACTGCCTAGGGGCCCCGTGCACGCCCTCAGAAAAAAAACATTCCATGGAACGAGTTTTGAACGACAAAATTACATATAAAACAATAATATTGCTTAAATCAATAATTAATATTTTTAATTTTTAAATTTCTTTGTGGTTATACATAATATTATAGTAATAACAACACTAAATAATATAAAGTTTTTGAAAATTGTAATGTTTATAATAATAACAGCTTAAATTAAATAAATAATATTATTACTGTATTTAATTATAATATTGATTAAAAAAAATTAGAATTAAAATCAACAAATTTTGTAAGGTACTCTAGTGCCATTTTTGAATTTTTGAAATCTTTTTGAAAAATTGTGTGTAAACACTGTCAGTAACAAGTATATAACGCCAGCCCTGGATTTACACTAGGGGCACTCGGGGCTAGTGCCCAGGGCAGCAAAATTTGGAGTCTGAGGAAAAAAATGTTTTAACTTAATGCTACGAAAATTAATGATTTTGAAAAATTTGGAAGTTGTTGGTTCCTAATCGATTTTTAATAATCGCGTTCTCACTGGATTTTTACGATTTGAAATCTAGTATACAGTACATTTTTTTTGATTAACATTTGAGTTACTTATTCAAAAATTTAAAGTAATATCCTTTATAAATAAATGGTTGTTATATACTTATCCTTTAATCTAAAGAATACTCCCGTACAGCATGGCGGCGTAAAGATAGCAGATTTGGTTTTACTAAATTCATTTTATATATTAGACCATTATTATAATTTCCGGGCGATCTGAGGTCGGGAAGTGGCAGGGGGTGAGTTTTTAAGGGTAAAAACGGTTTATCTCGATTTCCGCCAAAACTACAAGTCCTATGGAAAAAAGTTAAATGGAAAAGTTGTAGGTAATAAAAAGATCTACAACTTTTGTATTTAAACTTTTTTCACATAACCTCAAAATATATTTGAAAAATTCAAATAATTAAGTTTTTGATTTTTTATTTTTATATTTTACAAAAAAAAATTCACAAAATTTGGTGAAAACTTACCTTTTTATGTCCCAAACATACTGTAATTTTTTTGATTTAAAATATTTATTTTTTCACCTTATTTTGACTTTATTTACCGAACCGTTTTTTACCCTTAAAAACTCACCCCTGCCACTTCCCGACCTCAGATCGGCTGTAAATTATTTTTCCTTTCATTTTTGTTATATTCTCTTCCTTGTCCAATGGGTTTCATCCTACTATTATTATTTTTCCCCTTTTTCAGCCCTGGTCAATATGTCGCCGCGGAGACTATTCGCCTGGTTAATCTATAAACCTAATAATACAGATAAATAAAATTGAAATGTCTGTTTGTTATTACAAAATAACAGCTTTTTACTAAATGCATATAAAATTAGGTACGATACTTATAAGAAAAACACAATTTTTAAAATTTTTGTCTGTCTATCTGTTTGTTCTGGCTAATCTCCGAAACTGCTGTATTGATTTTAACGGGACTTTCACAGGCATATAGCTGATGTTATAAGGAGTAACATAGGCTACTTTTATTTTAGAATAAGAATTAGGGTCCCGTTCAAAAAAATGAAAACGTACCTAGAGACCCTACTGTAATGTAGTGGTAATGCAGTATATACTACGGTAGTTTTCACGGTGCCCCAGGGCGGCACTTATGGTAAATCCGGCCCTGTATAACGCCTTTGAAAGTTAGAATGTCTAAGGCCTTAGTCTTTCCATGACCATGATTGCTGTAAAGGATTCAGCAGAAATAATCCGAAAAGATAGTTTTATTTAAAACTAGCAGGTCACCCTCGCTTCGCTCGGGTTGGTCGCTAGGTACGTTTTAAATAGATATAAATAGTTATTAGCCAGCGTTAGCCATATAATTTTTTTTGTTAATAATATTGACAAATGTTGACATTAATATATATATACTCACTTGTCACTCAATTGCTATCAATGTTTTGCCTTCCCGGAACCTCTCCACTAACACTTAAACTTTATGTCATGGTATTAAAGTTCAAAATTGACTTTTAAGTACTATTACGAATATTTTGTATGGGAGTATAGAAAAGTGAAGTTTTTAGACTTTTTCAGGCAATTTTTTAAATTTTTCTCTCCGTAAGAACCATCCTCGTACTTCAAGGAATATTCTAAAAAAAGAATTAGCGAAATCGGTTCCGGTTTATTTTGTAATAATTCCTGTTTTTATACTATAGACTGATAAAAAATCACTTACAGTAATTTCAACTTAGAATTAACTATATATTATTAAATACAATTGAACTTATTTATATATATATATATATATATATATATATATATATATATATTAGTAGTTTATTTTAAAACGATTCTAACGATATAAGCTTTATATATAGCTTATATATAAAATTTTAAGAAATATTGTTATTTTAATGATGCGTACATATTTCGCGCAGGTCCTCGGAAAGTAGCTGACAGATGCGCCATAGTCTTGTAAAATGACAGCGACAGTTGAGGGGATATAGTTCCTGCATGATAGTGACTACTCTCTACAAAGAGAAGGCGAACTTGCAGCCAATACATACCTGTCTTTTTTACCCGACTGCGTGACGCAAAGGAGGGTAATGTGTTTATCAGCCTATGTCTGTATGTAGTACGAGTATGTACATCTCGCGGCAAGGATGAAACGTGTATGTCTCCGACTGCTTATTACTATAATCCCTCGTGAACTTGTTTTCATCTTTTTAGTTAGCGTTTATGCAGTCGGGTTTTTTATTTTTATAATAATTTATTTATTTAGAAATGGAATGTGTAAAATATATAATATTATTGAAAATTATAATATTATAATGGAATGTAAAATGGTTATAAATATCTATTTTCATTTTTCGTATTTCAATTAATACAGGTTGCCCTTAGAATTTTTGCGCTGATGCACACTGACAGATTACAGTTTACAATATATACAACGCGCATGACTGTCATGAGCAGAAATATATGACCACGATTCACGATTGCGTGAGTTATTTAATAATATCTATTCTTATGCTGTCAACAAAAATAAAATGTGACATCGAAGGGATAACAAAACTATCTGTAATCTGACTAGACAAACTATGTAAATTAGGATGCCACATCGATAGCTGAATATCGAAATATCTGACTATTCGATCTGGAGTTTATACAAGAGAAAGTTATCCTTACTTCTACCCTCCTTAAGTGATATGCATAACTCATGAACGAATTGTGGCTAATTCTTTCATGGCATAACTATATGAAATGTCTTTCGTTATTTTATGTTCTTTTTATGGGATATTCTACTACTCTCTTTATACTCTGTGCACTTAGTATAGTTATAATCTGTCTTCTGTATCTGTTTTTTTATTTTTATAAAAAGTTTAATTTGTCATCCACGATAAAGTATTGACTTTTGAGTTTTGACTTTTGTGCTGTTTTGTTACTCGGAAGTTGATCAATTTTTTATTTTACTAAAATTAAAATAAATAAAAGGTAATTATTTTGTCATGTACAATAATTAGTTCATATCTAGTTTGTACACTTTTATTATGATATAACATTTAAAATTTACTGATAAAGGTTAAAAGTACAAACTACTAACATAGCTTACATGCTATATTTATTTTATTTAAAATAAGTATTTTATACTGATTTTAGAAAACAATGGGTAAGGACGATGTTTCAAACAAAAAGCGGCGTAAGTTAAACACGAGTTCTTCCAGTGATAGTCTAAAACAGTCACCAGTGGACGTGTATAAGGTTAGGATTATTTTTGCTTTAAATGACGATCCTCCCTTTACCGTTGATATATGTCATTTTTTTATTTAATTACAGAAAGTTGTAGAATTCGAAGAATCTGAAGCACAGATACGTTCCGCTGATAAAGATGCCGCTTTATATAAAAAGATATGTCAAGATGTCAGGCAACTTTTTGCAGATATTGCTGAGTTAAAAGCTAAGGGTACTGAAGAGGTAATAAATTATGACATATGCATATTTCTAAATTGTCAGATTATATATTCATTACTTATTAATAATTTATACTTGACTGTATAGGCAAAAGAAAAAATAAATACAAAAAGAATAGAAGCATCATTACACCTGGTTGCATTAAAAAAGCTAAATCGTTTAGAAAAAGTTCGTACAAGAGCTGGGCGTGATGCTTTACACAAGGAGAAGCAAAGGGTTGATTCTACACATTTGCTATTGCAAAATTTACTTTATGAAGCTGATCATTTAAATAAGGAAGTAACCAAATGCTTACAATTCAAATCTAAAGATGAGGAAATTGAATTGGTACCATTAGAAGATTTTTACAAAGATGCACCAAGTGAAATTTCACGTTCAGTAAGTTCTCCTGAGAAACTTTACTTAATGAGTCTTTTATATTATACTATTAAGCACTCTTTGCTTGCTAAGAAACCTATTGTTAAATAAAGGTTGCTAATAAAATATTGATTTAAATTTTTTATCTCATCATATACAGTGGACCCCCGATAATCTGTCCCCTGTCTAATCCGGCGCCCCCTGTAATCCGACATGCCTACTGTTGAGTTGAATGTAGAACACAAACATTTTTTTAAACAAATCTTTATGAATTTAAGGAAGTGCATGATTAAACAGGTTGCAACTTGCAACATATACGCGCCGTCACTACACTTTATTGTGCTCGACGCGCTTTGTTTTGATTTTTAATTGCTTAATTTGAATTTGACCACATGTGATGTGTGTCGTGGAATGGATAGAGAGGAAAATATGTTCCATTTAATGTCTGACTAAGACTTTATAAAAGAAATTTTTAGAATAATATTATTATTAAATCTGGGAGATGATGACGACATAATTTCAACTTCTCAGCAGACCGCAAGTGAGAGCACAAAATGCGATTAACGCATTTGAGCTGGTTTTTTATTTACTAAATCCGACATACATAATTGTACATAGTATGATTAATAATTCAGTTAGAATCGTATTATTTTGATCTGTAATTGTCGGATGACAATTATTTACTAGATACTCTTTTTTCTTAGCAAAATCCGGACTAGCAGCGGTCTTAGCCAGTACTCTATATTTGATATTATGATTTATACTTCAGAGTAAATATATACCTATAACATATCGATTCTTATCATTGGATCTGTAACTTGTCAGATTACAAGGTACTCTTTTGTAAACATTTCCGGACTATAGGGGGTCTTAGGCAGTACTCTATAATCCGACAAATTCGATAGTCCGACACTGCCCTGCAAAACGTTTGTCGGATTACTGGGGGTCCACTGTATGTAGTTTCTGTATTTTAGATATAGCAATTTCTAAAATTATTTTTAGGAAATAACAAAAGCTGATGAACACCAGCTTCAATTAGCAAGACTTGAATGGGAGTTACGCCAACGCAGAGAATTATCTGGTGCTTGCAATGAATTGGTTGCATCTAAAGAACGTGTGGCTGCTGCAATAGCTGCTGCTCGTTCTAGATTAGATGCTTTAGCACCACATCTCCGAGATGTGCTTAAAGCTACCAAACCTCTACAAGAATGTTTAGCTCTTAGATTAGATGAAAAAAGAGATGAAGCTAGAGCTGCAGGACTTCTGCCACCACCTCTGTTTTTACTTTATGCAAATGTTAGTGCTTATTCAGATGCTCTTGGTGTTAAGAATGTAACCGTTGGTAAGTAATTTGTGTGATCATGTTGATATGTAAAGAAGTTTAATTGGTACTATTGAGTAAAATTATATAATTTTAGGTATTTCTGGAGATGAAGATGAAGCCAAAAGGTTGGAACAACTGACAGATATTGAAAGTGAATTGGTTGTTTCAAATGACTCGGATTCTGATCAAGACAACAATGATGAGGACCATAGAGATAGTAAGAAAAAAAGACATCATAGGACAGCAAAAATATCAAAAGAAGAAAAACAAGAAGCAAAAAAGAAAGAAGCCCTCAAAAGGCATCCCTTACATGTTCAAATGTGTATTAAAAGTTCTGATGGCACTGCTGTAAATTTAACCTTTTCTTATATGCTCCATCTCAAAATAGCTGTGGTAAAGTTTACAATGAATCATCCAAAACCTATCACAGGAGTATCTGCTGCAGATGTGTTATATGGAGATTGTATATTGAATGAGTTATATATTGGTGACAATGGAAATGATTCACCACATCCAGCTACTGTTTACCTCTTAAATTCTGCGGGAATAACTGATGAATTTCAACATTTTATTCCAGATGTTGGAAAGCCATACATATGGGCACAAAGAATGTGTGGTTTAGATTTTATGGCAGTTTCTGTTGATACACAAAAATCAACAAAAAATATACAACCTTGCCAAAGCCTCAGTGTGGCTAGTGTCGAAAACTTTATATTTACCTTGAAGAAGAGACTTAAGTCCAGAATAGAACTTATGAAAGAATTACAAGATCTAGAGTGTGGTAAAATTTTACCTACTAAGTTATCTTGTCCCGTTAGATTGTCAGGTTCATTAACTCAATGGCAAACAGTAGGCTGGCCTGAATACAGCCAAGCACCTTCAACATCATTTGTAATATCAGAGGGGTTGGTCACGGGTGATAACATGTTATACCGTGCAATTATTACAAGACAATCAGCTAAACTTGTAGCCCTTGTTGCCATCAGTAGTGATTATCCGAAACGAGCACCAATCTTTTCTTTGACATTACATTGGAATGGAACTCATCATGCAGGTTCTAATGATGATATTAGGGATATAGAGAGAATGATTAATACTGACTTAGTGCAAAATGAAAGCAAGCATTGTACTCTTTCTACACAAATGATGAAACTATTAACCTGTTTAGACATTTTATTAGAGACTATGGGATCCTCAGAATTCCCCCCAGATAAAGTCATGATGCATCCTGTCCGTGGCCGTAACAGAATGAAGCCTTACAAGTATTTGAAACATGGCACAGGAGTTTTTATTCAGTACTAAAACTTTGAGTGTAACCATAAAATAAATATTTTACACTTGAATTACATTATTATTTGCCCCATTTGCTTATTATTATTGTAAAATAATTTTCAAATCAGATGTTATAATTTTTATTAAGAACAAAATTGGTTTAATATTACAACAGTCTTTATTTTTATTTCTGAACAGCATATTTATTATAGGACCATACATTGTTATGATCATACTTCAGCAATATAATAATAATTACCAACACAAGATTTATATGGGTCATATTAAAAGGAAAATTACTTAAATTATAATCATAACTTAACCTAAAAATGCCATATTGTTATTGGTCGATAATGAGATCTCTATAGTATGTTCATTTTAAGATATTTATTTTTGTAATATATACTTTACATAACACACTACATATAAATTAGTAATAATAAAATGTTAATACAATTACTATGAAATAGTTTTGTAATTCCATACTACGTCTATGCTATAATTTTTTTTACATTTTTTTTGTTACAATATTAAATGTGTTGATAGATGTGCTTGAATATTACCAGAAATTTGTATTTTCTTTTCAAATAGGGGAAACAAGAATTTTTTAGTCATTTTCAGTTAAAAGAAATTTGATGTGATAATTATCTACTTAGATTTATCTTAAAGCAGCACTTAAACCTTTACACTAAAACTTCCTAAGAGTTTCTACACAAATCTACTGCTTGCATGAAATCTTCTCTACATATAAAAAATATTACTCACTACTGAAATCTCAGTAATCCTCATTGCTAGACAACAGCTGTGTGTATGATGATGAGTTTAAACTATATCAATCACTTATTCTTTACATAATACACTCTTTTAATAGTTTATCACTGCAAGTCATTTTAAAAAAAAAACAAAATATCTATATAATCACTTCTCGTCTTGCGTTCGCATGTACTTATTTCTATGTTAAGATGACTTATTGCATTGTGAGATCCCACACTCTACTTTCGCATCCATGATTTTTCGTGGCCCCTTGAGGCAGTTTAACCGCCTTTGTACTGCGTCTCTGTCTATAATAAAAAAATAACAAATTAATTATTTTGTGCTATATTCATTAGTTTCATATATTGTAATAGAAATTTAAACAAAAATAACTATATTGCATATATATACCTATTACAGATAATTCCTATCAAAAAATACCAATAAACATAACTGTCCTGACCTAGGACTTGAACCAAGGACTTCAGGGAGTGCATGCGTAAATGCCAGCCACTAGGCCAACGATGCATGGGATAAAAAGTATCCTATGTCCTTCCCAGGGCCTCAAACCATTTTCTTACCAAATTTCATCTACATTGGTTTAGTAGATCCAGAGATTATCCCCTACAACGTCACAAACTCACAAACTTACAATTCGCAAACTTACAAATTTTACCTCTATAATACTAGTGTAGATGTAGGTACATACATTTGGACAGTGTGGTGCGATGGTGCGGGTGCAGCGGGTGGCGCTGCACGAGTGAGTGCAGCAGCACCTGCGCGGACATGTAACGGCGCTCGCACTCCTTCACGTCGCCAAACAGTTCTTCGATTGCTGCCTTTTGACACTGCCAAAATTTTTAATTTAATAAATCTGTCAACCACCAAACGTTTGTTAACTTCTTATGTAACGACTTCTAACAAGGACAAGGTTCTCGATTTTGTATGTACATATAATATATAATGATTTTTTATTGAACAGACAAATATTTCACCTCTAAGGGCAAAATAATAATTGTTTAAAGTCGTATTTGTTATCTACTTGGTACAATATGCTTGTTCTGTTCATTTAGGGGCCGATTGTAATAAATAAAACATTATTTACCAATTCAATAGCATGTTCATAGAGAATTTTATCACAGACCGCAGGCGTTACACGCGCCTCATGAAGCCGTTTTGATTCATTGAGGATCCACTTATATTTTCCATTCATTAGTAAGACAACTGTAAAAGAGAGTATAAAATTTATTGCATATATAATGCGTAAATTAGACAAAAAAATAAATAATAATAAAACATCATTTTAATTTTCATGTTTTTTTTTAAATATTTTATATCAAAAACATTTAAAACTAAAAAAAACAATTCAAACATAAACATAGTCTACTAATCGATACAGTCGTCTAACGAGCGCGTCTATACATGGCAATGGCGCGGAATGTGCGAGGTGAGACTCGGATGAGGTGCACCCGACTGTAATACTTATTTTTATATGACAGACTGTTGGGGCGCAACTTTAGCGTTGATGGTTATTTGCCATGTTAACAGTAACTTGCCATTAGTGTTTTTTTAACTTCGAAATCGTTCGCCATGAAAATTGTTTTTTTTGACAGCCTTTTCGTTAAAATCAGTGATTGATCGCCTACTATATATATATCTTATATATTTAAACGAGCTATTCACGATTACGACAATGTATTATTATTCAGATTGTATATTGATATATATATACAATCTGAATCTCGAAAACGGCTCCAACGATTTTAATGAAATTTAGTATACAAAGGGGTTTCGGGGGCGATAAATCGATCTAGATTAGTCTTATGTCTGGAAAAACGCGTGTTTTCGAATTTTCATGCGGTTTTCTTTTGCATTTTCACAATTTTTGCATTGTCAGTTGTCACTTCTGGTGGGTGGGAGGCGCCACTGTACAACTGTCAATAACGTGTCCGTATTTACATCAAGTTTAAAAATATTTAAGTGCAAATAATCTAAAGAAAATGGTAAATTCTAATTAATTTAATAATAATTTTAAGAAATATTAATCGATAAAACCTATGGGCAATATGTACACATCACCAAGTCTTGATGTGTTGAAGAACAAATGAGCTTTTAAAAATTCACCTACCAAACAAATACAAAAGTGAGAAACATAACATACAGATACTATCAGTGCAAAACCATCTTTTCTGTGTGTGATGACAATAAAACAAAATAATTTGTGAAGTGGAAGCGTAAAATATTAAAACATAAGTTTATAACCTCAAAAACTAATACTCTGTATAAAATTGCAATTCAACTAGGTATAATTGGTGCTCTTTTTCAATCAGCTTTTCTACTTCCGACTTTACACTTAAGATGGAGGAGATAAAAAAGTTGCTAATAAACATGCAACAAGAAATAAGACAGCAAAAAACAGAAATGTTAGAAATGAAAGAAGACATTAAAAATACAATCAACAATAATATACTTAAATGAGAAATTTAAACACTTAGAAATAAAAAAATCCTCAATAAGTAATTTAGAAAGACATATTAGGCGCAAGAACTTGGTTATGTTCGGAGTAGAAAAAGGTGAAAAATCCTATTATGAATTAGAGGAAAAAATAAAGTCTTAAACAAACGCAAGAAGTTACAAGCCCAACTGAAGATAAAGAAAAAGACCTAGGCAAAACAGCTTTCATTAAATATGACAAACTAATTATTGTGGATAATAATAAGAACACTTCTCGCCAATACTCAAATAAAAAAAGTCTGCCTGTATCTTCAGAAACGCCTTACCTCAATTATAAACAAAAACTATAATAACAAATAAACAACATACAAAGAAAACCAAACCTGCTAATATTAAAGACTTTATATTACAAAAACCAAAATTAACTTTCAAGCACACAAATGATAACCAGGGAGAACTAAAAACAACACAGCAAGATACAGTATATTAAACACAGTAGGAACCTCCTCATTTTTATCCCCCAGTACGACCGGTCACTGTGGGGGAGTTCGACCGTAACCCTCCAAAGAAAAACAGACATACAATGAACAAAGGTAATACATATCTTCACCAGAAAAACTTCTAGAATTAAAAGCAGCATTTCCTACAACAAATCAAAAGAACACAAAGATAAAATTATAAACTTTATAGGCATATCAGAAACAAATTATAGTATATTGGAAACAAAATTTGAAAAGAAACCCTTTGCAATCATACAAGCATAATCTCCAACGGAGAACTCTATGCAGGACTACTTTGGAGGAGGCTTTTAACCGAGAGGGGTCTATACATGAAAAAGACATTTACTAAATAAATACATTTAATTATGAAATTAAATACCTAATTTATAACTATTGTCAGAATTAATGTATGGAAAGAAATTTTATTTATATTTGTTATTGTGAAATGTTTAGTATTTACTCAATTGAATTATTTAATTTATTGTGATTGTTTATTTATTTATTTGTTAATGATAATTTATATATATACAATATCATTTCAAATAATATTAAAGATTTTTAAAATAATTTAATTCCAGATTACAAAATTATTAGTTAAAAAATTATAAGTTAATAAATAGTCACTAACCAAAAAGTGAAGTTAAATTAAATATAATCAAATAAGTTATAAATATGATCTGTTAAAATACAATGTTAAAAATTGTTAATTAAGTAAGAGTAATTATAATTTAAAATTATAAGTAAGCATGTATACAATAAATAAAGCTTTATTATTATTATTATTTCTTTTGCATTATTCCACGCAAAATATTATGTTCGATAAATTCGCACGCTCAGACATAAGCATCATGGTCAAGTTGCCAATGCTCAAGTTTGACAATCGCAGGTGTCTGGGTTCGTATCCCGGTCGGACACAAAGTTTTTAATTTTGTATTTATTCAAATACTTAGTTTGTATTTTTGTCCAAAAACTCCGAGCGAAGCTCGGTCGCCCAGGTACTATATATATATATATATATATTGTATATTATATGTTCACTTGATATTGACAGACAGACAGACAGTCAGTACTCAGTACGTACCATTGCGCACTTGCGGCGTGGGCTGCAGCGTGCGCGAGCGGTAGTGCGCGGCGGCCAGGCGCAGGCCCGCCGCCAGCGCCTGCATCGCCTGCACCAGCAGCCCGAACCGCACGCTCTCGTTGCATCGTTCTGTGACATGCGTGTTAGGGATCTTATATATTTACTAACGCAGCCTATCTATCTGTTCCAGGTCAAATCTATATGTGTACATCAACACACACACACACACATATAAAAACTTTCACATGTGTGTATAATAGAAGTCCAATTATATTAAGCATAGGAGTTATTGTTCCTCATTTGAGGAACTAATATAAACTTGCTTTAAAAATAGAGTGAAACTCTAACTTCAGTTTTCGCGACTCTGATTTATAAATGATATTTCGACGGTAAAGAAAGACATCACTAGGAAACCTATATGTTTGAAAGACTCTCATTGGTTTTCAAAAGACATATGAAGTAGACCGATCCACATTTGATCAGCTTGGTCAATTATAGCTCAATCCCTCCATTGAGGGGATACCTAACAATGGGTTATTCAAAACACTCAATTATTTTTAATATACCAAAATATTTATACATATATTTATATTATACAATTTATGAAGTAATTGACATAAATATTACCATCGGATGCATCCATGAGTGCGGCGAGCGGCGCGCCGCACGACATGGCCAGGTCGGACAGCAGCTCGGCCAGCATCAACACGAAGTTCAGTTGCGAGAACACCTTGCTATGCTCCTCCTGAACAACATATTAAAAATCACATACATTTTAAATGAAGACGTCAATTATACTAGGCAACAAAGCAATTATGAACTCTTTGGTTTATATAACGAAAAGAAAAAATGACAATACAATAAAACTTATTGTTTACCAATTTCAAAATAACTTATAAACCAATTAGAATAAATGGTTCCCTTGAACACCTTCAATTTTCTGTATAAATTGTATCAGGTCACCTTCACATTTTAATAGTTGTAATTTCGATATACATATACTTATTAGGGCAGTAACTGGATTTTCCATCGGCATTATAAACAGAATTTCTATTATCACCTTTGACATTCCTAACTCCAAATTTTAATCCCAATTTAATTGTACAATACGTAATTTATACTTAAATCCAAAAAAACATTACTTAGTTTAATATATTATATAGAAATCTTGAATCATTGCTTTATTAAGGCAGATAACTGCGTCGGTGGTCTAGACTCTAGTAGCTAGCAGATACGGCTGCAGATAAAAAGGTCCCAGGGTTAGATCTAATATAGTTACTGAGTGTATTTGCCAAGAAATTCTCAGTCAATAGAACGGATTTGGGATGTTGGCGGTGTTTCACCCCCGTGACTCGAGAGAGCACATATAACCGTTAGCATTTGATCTCTCACCGATCATGTCAAATTGTCGATCCACCGGAGCTAGAGAGTGCACTTGTTTCTACGCGCATACTTATGCACTATGAATATCTCTTGCGCAGTTTCAGTGAAATTACTCGCCGTGGTCGAAATCGGTCAAGACGACATTACTTATTACATAGTGATATATTGTCGGCCTAAGTCGTTAACCTGCTAAGTGTATTTTTGCATAGTTTGCAGGACGAAAAAAACTGAATTATATCATTTCATTTTTAGAAATCTAAATTCTGAATATACCATTGTTCCCTATAACTTTCCTTGATATTCTTCTAGCCTTTTTGATTGATATTGATATCGTCGCTATTCCTTTAACATAATGTAGGTAATCGTCAGAACTTTTCGACCGGCATAAAAAGTATAATAATAAAAGTATAATGCTTACGGCCAGTATGGTCTCCTCTTGCAGGTCGGGTATGTAGACGGGCGGGTCGTGGTGGCGCAGGCGCAGCAGCGCGTCAGGCAGCGCGCCGCGCTTGGGCGACGCCTCGCCGCTCATCTTCAGCGCCATCGACAGCGGGGGCGACGACCCTGACCCTGTGTGGAATGTCAATCGTTATTTCATTTTAGGAACTGGTTCTTTTCTTTTTAATTTAATGTTTAGAGATTAAAAATATGATGCCTCTCTCCCATGACCTATGATTGCTGTAAAGCTTTCGAAACGTCGGGAATCTAAAATCTAAATAAATCCGCGAAAAAATCTGAAAAGATAGTTTTATCCGCGTTAATCTAAGAAAGTATTATGGACGATTTTTAAAATAAAACTATCTTTTCGGATTATTTCGCGGATTTATTTTGATTTTTGGTTCCCGACGTTTCGAATGCTTTACAGCATCCATGGTCACGGGAGAGACTGAGGTGTTACATGTCTTAAAGATATAGTTGTTACAGACAGCCTACCCACAATTAACAAAATGAAAATTGCACCAATTACATTACAATATTTTTAACTTTAAACATTTTTTATAATTTTAATTATAATTGAATATGGAAAATTATTTATTTAATTTTTGCTATTATTTTTATAATTATTACAATTTTAAAAATATTAATTAGTAATCTATATTTAGTGTTGCCATTATTATATTTATAACCATAAATAAAAAATATAAAAAATATAGTATTAATTATTAAAGCCATATAATTGTTCTATGTGTAATTTAAAAAGTTAAAATTAATTACGGATAATCATTTTAATTTAGTTTGCTATTATTTAAAAACAACTTACTAAGCAACACTATTAATATATACTTTTACAAATGAAAAATATATATTAATAAGAAAGTATTATTATGGACGAATTGACTTATACACACATAGCAAACGATCTAACTAGAGTTCAGAGAAAGTAATTTAATTGTTTTAGTTTACCTGATCTGTTATTTGTGGGCGAGACCTGCCATAGTGAGGGTGGTGGGGAGCTCCCAGAAGCACTTCGTCGTCGAGCCGAAGGAGGAGTCCTCATTGTAAATGGTACCTGGGTATTAAATATAGAAGTTAAATTTTAATTTTTTATGGAAATTTTAATTTTAATTTCTTTCAGTTTATAATTTCGAAATGATCTACTGGAAACGGAATCGTATTCGAATGCCGCAAAAGTTGTATTGATTTATGATCATGATCCTCCTGACCGATTTCGGCCATGACCAATCTCATTGAAACTAGCAAACTGCGCACGAGATATTATAGTGCACAAGTGAGCGCGCAGACACCAGTGCACTCTCTATTCCTTTCACTCTTAAATTCCGATGAGTCGATAATTCGACACGAAGAGGTCAGACGCAGTACTGACGGTTTTACTCGCTCTTTGAGGGACAGGGGTGAAAGTGAAACACCTCCAATTGCCAATTCCGGTCTGGTACTGGGACTTTCTTAACTGAGAGACTCAATAACTGAACTTGGCACGACCCGGGACTCGAACCCAGGGTCTGCGGATATACAGCCGTACATAGCCATATTTTGCCTATATCTAAGTCTAATCTTTTTTATTTTTATGCTAAATAATTTAGTGTAAATGAATGACACATGCCATCTAATACAGGTAAGGGCGACAACGAATGTAACTCACCGTGGGTGGCGAGAGGGAGCCAATGTCGGTCGCATTTCGATTGTGATTAGATCGGAGCACGTCGATGGGCTGCGAGCGCGGCACGGCGCTCGCGCCCGGCGCGGCCGGCGCGGCCTGCGCGGTCTGCGCAAACAACACGCTACAGGCGACGCACGCTCTAGCTGTTAGCCTTGCTACTGACACAGTGTACTAATCCATACAGGATCTACATAGGTGTAACGAAGGTGTCTATACTATATTCGCCGAATGAACCAAGAACTGAGATTTTGCGCTTTCACGTCATTAGTTGCAGACAAGACGCTTAGGCCGCGATTATAGTGCAAGTCATAATTAGTCCATCGTTGCATTCCGTACCGTTCAAACGTCTCTCGTGTAGTTACCTGATTTATTAACAATGTAGAAGATGACAGTGATACGTCGGAAAGTGAAAATTAATAAATATAAAAAAATACAGTTAATTTTACTTTAATGTTGATTTTATTTTTATCCACATTATTAATAATTTCTTATTAAAGCATTAGTAACATGAACGAGCCCTATGATTTCAAATCAGTTGCAAGTGTTAGTGGGCGGAGCTAGACAGTTTTCTGTCCTTATCTGTTTGTATGCTAATGTGGAACAGAGAAGGCGCTTTGCATGGTTCACCCGTGAACAGAGTATAGACAGGGATATTTTTATACTGTGCGGTTCGTGTGGGGGAGACGCGGGTGAGGTGCACCCGACTGTATACATTCTCTTATACAACATATTTAGGGTTGGTGGATATTATTGTTACCCTACAATTCTACAACCCTCTTTTGATTAATTTGACATTTCCATCGAAATCAAAATCGCGTACTGTATAGATTTTTATACTGTACTACAGGGCTGCTAGCTTATGCGTGTTAAAGTTACACATGCACTATGTTTGTAAACTTAATTGATATGCATGCTATTTCAATAATTATTATGATTTTTTTTTTACTAATTCTGTTACACAACAATATGATATGAGATTTAAAACAATATTTAGGGATTGTAAGTAAATAAAATATTGCGTGCATTAACATAAAACAATGAGCTATAGAGGTAAGAGACATAGTGCTCATATTGTCATAATGAATGTTTGAATGAAAAGTTACTAAAAGTTAATATAAAAAAAAGCTCTCTCTAAAATTTTCCAACCTACAATAGTGCAAAATGCAATTCACACCTACTCCTTATAAAGAGCCAGTCCTCTATACCTCTACTTTCCATTAAAAAAAAAAAAAAAAACAAAAAAAAATGTCAGTCACTCACCACAACACCAGACAAAAAACGTCACTATCATGCATTTGAAACTCATTCGAAACCACGTCCACAAGGTAATTAAATGAATAATCATTTAAAATGTGATAATTAATCATAATAAAAAAAAACAATTCTTTCTAACATGGTAAAAAAAACAGAAACAAAAAGGTCATAATATATACCCGTTGCGGCGGCGGCGCGGGCGCGTGTTGCGGCGGCTCGTCGGCGGGCGGCGCCGCCAGCGCCAGCGAGCGCGGCCGCGGCGCCGCCTCGCCCGAGCCGTGCGACGTGTGCGACGTCTCCGCCGACCCGCTCTCCGCCTCCACCATCACGAAGTCCTCCGGCACCGCCCACGTGTCCGACGACTCCGCTGTAATCACACACACACACACCGAATTAATTTGGCTTTGCTCGCTTTGTTTATTTGATTAATGATCTATACAGATAAATAAAATTGAAGTGTCTGTTGTAATGTCAATCGTCGTCCCTTTAGGTACGTTTTAACAGTTAGTATGAAATACAAATTTTTTGAATTTCTCTGCTATTCTGTATTATAATATGTATGTATCTGTATCTATACATATAAATAAAATAGAAGTGTCTATTTGTAATGTCAAAATAACAGCGTTTTACTAAATATAATATGAAATTATATACGCTACTTATAAAAAAACACATTTTGTTAAATTTTTGTCTGTCTGTCTGTTTGTTCCGGATAATCTCTGAAACGGCTGGACTGACTTTAACGGGACTTTCACTGGAAGATAGCTGATGTTATAGGGAGTAACATAGGCTACTTTTATTTTAGTAAAAGAATTAGGGTTCCGCTCAAAAAAATAAAAACATACATAGGGACGAATACGAGCGAAGCGAGGGTGTGTGTCTTGTTATCTATACATATAATGAAATTGTAACTAAGTCGAATCTGTACATTAAATATTTTTTGGAAAATCTTATTGAAATAGGCATTATTATCGATATAGAGTCTGAATCTATAGCTTTTAGAATTTTTGTCTGTCTGTCTGTTACCGCATCACGAGAAAACCACTGGACAGATTTTGATAAAATTTGGTATGATGATAGCTGGTTATCAAGTAACATATAGGATACTTTTTACCGCGGTAAAATACCTCATTTCTGAGAAAAAATACAAAAACTGCTATATTAATATCTATATTATATTAATATCTATATCTATATATAATAGCTATATATTAATGATTATACTAATATGTATGTAAAACCTAAGAATTTGGTTTTTGGTCATCTGAACGCGGGCGGAGCCGTGGGCAATGCTAGTCATTATGTATAGGTACAGTTTTAAGGTTAACATTGCAGCAAGAAAACATAATAAAACCGTACGGTGTGAGAGTACAGCAGAGCATCGAGTGTACCATAGTGATTCTTAACTAAACAAAGCGTGATGTGCAACTCACATTTTTTTTTCTTTTATTTTTATATATTGATTGACTTCCCGTGAAAGTGAAACAATAAACAGTATAATGACATGAATGAATATATGTATGTTTACAGCTCACTTTTCAAATCTGTGTCGTAGTTTAAATCAAAACAAAACAACAACACACGTGGAAAATAATGAAGACACAAATAAGTGCGTATTATTACGAACTTATTTTGAAAAGAAAGACTTGAAAAAATCATACAAAAGAATTGTTTATAACTTATTTGATCAATTAGTTCATGCTGTTAGTATATTATTATACATAACAAAAGATGCAAACGGCATATTAATTTCTTTTAAATGAACCAATACATATTAGCCTATAAGTATACGAATAATAAAATGTCACCGATTTTATTGCGCAGACTAACTACTGTTTTCTTGAGCACAGAGTACATATTTTTTTCTAAGGCGAAGACTATTCAAAAATTGTATAAGTCACGGAATGTGCGACGAACAGCTGGGCGATATTGTTTTTGAGCCAACTTGCTAACTCGCCTAATTACTTTATAAATAGATATTACCTTTTTATGATTTAAATATTCATTATTTATACGTATTTTTGAACATTCAAGTAAATTCATCATAATATGTTATTTTTGTGGCACGAAGGTTAAGTAACATAATTAAATTAACTCTTATATGTGAGAAAAACCTTTGTGTTTTTTTTTGTGTTATTCTCATTTGAAAGAAAAGTGATATCTCAGTTTTATTGTATTGGGACAAAAATGAGAAATAATTGGAATAAATAAACATATACGAATATATAAATAAATAAACGTAAACGAAGATTGATTGAATTATTACAGTAGTAAAATCGATATATGTTGAGCGTCGCCAACAAGTGCGAAGGTTATCTCGAAACTCGAAATAGAATATAATGCTGAATTTTGACCGCATTTCACTTTCCTTACCTACATGTCATTTTACTATATTTGTATATAGAACATATTAATAAATTATATTAGTATACATTTCTCAGAGATGAGATATTTTCCCGCAGTAAAAAGTATCCTACATGTTGACCCGCGATAACCAGCGAAATAGAATATAATGCTGAATTTTGACCGCATTTCACTTTCCTTACCTACATGTCATTTTACTATATTTGTATATAGAACATATTAATAAATTATATTAGTATACATTTCTCAGAGATGAGATATTTTCCCGCAGTAAAAAGTATCCTACATGTTGACCCGCGATAACCAGCGAAATAGAATATAATGCTGAATTTTGACCGCATTTCACTTTCCTTACCTACATGTCATTTTACTATATTTGTATATAGAACATATTAATAAATTATATTAGTATACATTTCTCAGAGATGAGATATTTTCCCGCAGTAAAAAGTATCCTACATGTTGACCCGCGATAACCAGCTATAATCGTAACAAACATCAAAATCTGTCCAGTGGATTTCTCGTGTTGCGTTCGCAGACAGACAGCCAAAAATTCTAAAAACGATAGATTCGGTCTCTATATCGATATTAATGACTATTTCAATAAGGTTTTCCAATAAATATTTAAAGTACAAATTTTTATTCAAAATTTTATTTATATGTAGGTATATTTTATTTATATTATACAGTATACTAGCAGAACCCGCGTCTTCGTTCGCGATAAAACTACAAAAGAAACTCTTCAAAGGTAGGTAACCTAGGTTTCATACAAACTTTCATCTCCTATTTTACCCCCCTATAGGATGAATTTCGAAAAACGCCAAATTGTATTGAAGAGCAAAATTTTTTTATGATAACACTAAAGCTCGTTAATAGCTACTAAACAAAAAAAAACAAAATCTGTTGACAACAAAACTGAGGAGAGTAAAGGTACTCAACTGTTTTGTCTTTGCCTATGTATAGAATTAGATAGATATATAGATAAGCATATAGATGATGAAACTTCAAGATAATATTACCTTGCAAAGACAATAAAAGAATAAAAGACGACAACGGCAAATGAAAAGATGGTGATGTTGTATTTGTATTAATTATTATTATTCTTTTTATCTGAATTAATAAAGTACAAAAAGTTAATCAATTTACATATAAGGACGAAGTCGTTAATCTGAACTTTAATCTCGTAATAATTATGTACCTTTATGTAAGCTTATGTAATATGTATATAAGGGTTTGTTAATTTAAAATACATTGTTATTCAATTTAAAAAAAAATTCAATGGCCATTACATTATAATTTATATTTTAATTTACAATTTAATTATTATTGTTTTAATGCGTATTAAACTATGACACCAAGCAGGACGTCTGAATATTTATATAACAGACTAGTGACTCACGCTCGCTCCGCTCGGGTTCGTCCCTACTTACCTTTTAACGTTTAGTGTACATTTCTGATGAGATATTTTCCCACAGTAAAAAGTATATAATATGTTGACCCGGATTACCCGCTATCAACATACCAAATTTCATCAAAATCACACACAGACACAGTATTCACAGACAGACAAAAATTAAAAAATCTATAGGTTCGACCTCTGTATCGATAATAATGTCTATTTCAATAAGATTTTTCAAAAATATATTTTGTCTGTATATTAAATGTACCTATAATATAAATTAATCGGCTTAGTCAGAATGTTATCGTAATATATATAGAAAATATAATCGTTGCATATTTTTTATCGCGAACTGTAACTCCGATGTCAACACAAAAATAATAAAAGTAACCTATTTATTTTCCTCTACACATTATCCAAGTTCAAGGTATCGCATGTTTTAAAATCGTGTCAATGTATAGGTAGTTAAGATTTTATATCAAAGGTCAAAAATATGTGCTCCAGAAGATTTACCAAACGAACGATTGTGGTGTTTTCGTTCAAAATTAAATTAAAATATTTAAAACATTGCGCAAACTAAAATACTTCTTTTATAATTCAAATACGTTAATTTATTGTATCCATGACTCAGTAACCGTTTGTTGGGTTTATAACTCGCATATTATAATATGAACCCGGTCACCTCAACGTGGCAAGCATTTAGAATACACCACCAAACCTCTGAAAAAATATATAATATTGGATGAATAAAATTGTTATAATTGATAATCCTACCTGATGAAGTCGGTTGAAGCTTCTTGGTCGGCTGCGGCATCGGCACGGGCTGCGGCATCGAAATGGGCGCGCGCGCCAGAGACGTGGTGGGTATCGCGCTGTTTGAACTTGTTTCTGTTGTGGGTTGAACAATTATTATTATACATTTTACAATTATGAGACAAAACTAGAATTTTATTTGCTTCAATCTTTTTCGAATGACGGTCATGCGCTTAGATATGACTGCTTATATAATTATACGCAAAAATAAATTTCGTGGGCAAGCACTCTTTTGTTTCGCACTCTCCAAAAAATAATATCTGTAGAGTGGATCTGTCTGTTATATTTGTCCAAGGTCTGATTCTAATTTTCGAGGGAGTGTAATGGGAGGAAAAGGAATCATAATTCGTCGCCCTTTATTTATATTATTTTGTATTTCTCTTTTTATTTTTATAAATTGCCTTCCCATCGTCTATTCAAGAGTAATATTAAAAAATATATAGATAGGTATTAAGTGACGAAACCGTATTGTTAAGAGCTTATCTACGACAAGTTATTTAAGGCGACACGAAATATCAAGGACTCAAATCCAATTCGCACTTGTTTGATTTTCAAATGAACATGTATCGTAAATTGCGTAGGATGAATAATATAAAAGAGAAAAGTATGACGTAATTGGCAAATTACAATAAGTAAAACAAATATATATATTTTTTTTTTCACTCATAAAATTAAAATATTAAAAAAATATATTCGTTGTGGCCAACTAGGAAATAATAATTGTTAAGATGTTTGTAACCTTGTACTTATTTGGAACGATAAAGGTAGAATACAGTTTCATTTTAACATTATAAAATAGTAAAAAAATGTTACTTTAGACCAAGTTTAGCATCTTTATATTACTTATCTATAAGCGCAACAATGATAAAGCGCTCACCCACTACAATGGATTTTAATGATTAATCGATAAACAACTGTAGATATATTAAATTTTGACGCAACGCGACTAGTCTAGATATGACTGTTGCAGTATATTGAAGGTTACAAAGGTAATCACAATGTTCAAAGAATCGAATTGTGTGATAAAGATTGATGACGCGACGCCAAAAATAGCAGTGACATATGCAATTGAAACTAGTCCTTTAAATTTTTGAACCGAGTGATTGATTCAATGTACATTGTACATTTAGCCCTACTATAACGGGCAATTCCAAGCCATGCTATTGAAGCAACCTTGAAATCAAATCACAAATTCACAAAATTAAATATTAGCCCACCCCAACATGCACATTGCACATATCAAGCGTAATTGTAAATATGTAAATACCCTGACTGTCCCAAGACTCCTCTAGGATACAGTTAGTTTCGGCACAGCCTTCGATATCGCACTCCAATATGTCGGGCACATCACAGTCCAAACCTGAATAATATTTATATTCCGTAACCAAACCGAGATAAAATCTAATTTTACACAGATGTTCAAAAATTCATGGACTAGAAAAGCACGATGAGTAGTTTCTACATGTTAAGTGCTGTGCTTATGAGAGTCGAGTATTATTGTGTATTATGGTATATGATAATATTTGATTTATGTTCCATATTTTTCACTAATATAGGTACATTTTAGGAAGAATTGTAAGGAAATGAGATTGTAATAAAACTTACACATAATACTTTTACAAAGAAAAAGAACAGCTTCTTATGTACGATATTCAAGAGTTGTTATGTTTTTGCTACGAAGAAAAATAGAATCTGCCAAGATGGTCCATCGGTACCTGACACATATTTTCTGTAAAATTTCAATCGGCTATTTATAACCGTTCAACATAAACAAGATTAGCCGAACTTTTAAACAGATAGCGAAGATTTAGTGATACTGCCCGATCTACGAGTACAAGAGCCCGATACTTTACCATGTATATATATATAGAATAAAGATATTTTTATCAGAAAACATAGTATTCTATATTTATAATCTATAAAAGAGTTACAGTAGGAAATTATGCTTTTATGTATTTTGACCTATAAGGTAAGGAATGACACCTACGACGTGTAAATATGCTCTATAAATTATTCTCTTTAGTTACGCAATGTTAGACGTTTGTGGAACAAAAGTGAACAAAGCAATAGAGATTAAAACTATAATTTCCAGAAACAATTCATACTAATAGGAAATTGTGATACAATTTCGAAAGAAGAGACAATAGAATACATTACAATGAGTCATTCGGTCAGATTAGTGGCCAAATTTACGTATTACACGATAGGAATGAACTAAATCTACGCAGTATTTCAAATTTAAACGTTAAATGTACATGGAAAGAACTACGATAATAAAATAAGTTAATTGCAGTAAACATTTCGCATATTGAACGAAATGATTCACAACATGTAAAACAAAGTTTATTTACATTTGCGATAGTGCGAAGAGTTCAGAACGAGTCAATAAATAAGGGTTAATGTATTATGAGGTTACACATAATGTAGGATAAAGCGAGTTCAAACTTTAAAATGATCTATTATTGTGTTTATTGCTGCGTTATTTGTTGGTTGTATATAATTGTATATAATAAATAGTAATGTATGTTCGTTACAGTGTATGTTGGGTGGCAGTCTTTTAAGATATTAAAACAGTTAATGTGGTTCAAATGGCAACTATTACGATGTAATAAAAAAGACAATGTTAGGTATATAAGATATTGAATACTCACTTGTGATAGAAGTTGTTCTTGGCCGTTGTAAAAATGGGTGGTTGAAGAAAACTTCGAAGGGCATGCGCTCGCGTGCATTTCTCCTCAGTAAGCCAATCAACAAGTTACATAGTTCAGGACTAGTACCGGCTGGCATTCTGTGATTAAAACAATAACATTATGTAAATTAATAAATTATAGATTATAGCGTTCAGGAATGTGGGAATGCGATATATATTTTTATAAACATTATCAGTACTGTTAAAATTACGAAAAAGAGTTACAAATAAAATGGGATCTCATCAAAAAGAATGAAAAATTAATGCAAATATATCTTAATTATAATAAAAAAGGCGTAATATGTAGTCGTATAGTGCGTCTCTCAAGTTACACATTGGAAAAAAATTAGGAAGTAAGACTGAATTATTACATGTACAAACATCCGAACTTTTGTTATTATAATAGTAATCTAATAGATGAAAAACATAAAACATTTCATTAAATCGATCATATGTATAATCGGCACTCGCTATTTATAAATGGATATATCACGAAAATAATTGGACCCAGTTATGCAAAAAACAGCCATGTGCGTAAAAGTACCAACAGAGTTATAAGCATTTTTCTGTCGTTAGTTGCACTTGGGTTATGTTTTGTTTTTCTGGTTATTTTAAAATTGAACAATATTTATATAAATATTGTTTATTTTTTATAATTATTTTATTTTTTATAATAAAATGCTTATAACTCTGTTGGTACTTTTACGCACATGGCTGTTTTTTGCATAACTGGGTCCAATTATAATTGTGTCAATTATTATTGCAAGAAAAAAATAGATAAAGATATAGTTATTATTTAGATTAATACTCGTATTAATAACAAGAATATCACATCCTGTAGGCCACAACTCACACTTCATACTACGTAATATATAATGCATCATTATACAATACATTATACAATAATGAAAGAAAAGACCTCCTAACCAGAAGGGACTCTGAGAAAGCTCAGTAAAACACCATATCAGCGCGGGTTCAATGCTTATGCCGTAGAGACTACAACCAATATCTGAACTCGATATGTGAAGATATTGAGGACCATGCTAGGACTCTGCACACCAAAGACCTGTTTTTACGAGTGAAAAGCATCACACGAGAGTTTAGACCCAAAACTTGGGCGATCCAAGATAGTAAGGGTACACTACTGACGGAGATTGACCAGGTTACAGAAAGATGGCGGTCATATTGCCAAAGCCTGTACAAGGACGACAGGGGATCCTCTGAGCCATTCAGCATGGACGAAAACCTAGAGCCTGAAATACTGGAATCTGAAGTCAGGGAAGCTCTTAGAAAAATTAAAACAAATAAATCAGCCGGAAGAGACAGTAGATTCGCTGAAGAACTGAAAAACTTAGGAGACACAGGTGTCAAGATCTTTAAGGACCTGTGTAATCAGATCTGGAGCTCGGGAAAATGGCCCAAGGACTGGACGGAGTCACTTTTGATACCACTGCACAAGAAAGGCTCGACAAAGATTTGCGAAAACTATCGAACAGTGGCCCTCATATCACATGGTAGTAAGATCATGCTTCACATAATTAATGGACGCTTACAACCCTACCTACAGCGGCAAATACCTAATGAGCAGGCTGGCTTTGTCAAGGGCCGTGGAACTCGGGAGCAAATTGTCAACATTAGACAACTCATAGAGAAGAGCCGGGAATTTAATGTTCCGATAATTATGTGTTTTGTTGATTACTCCAAGGCGTTTGATTGCGTGAGGTGGGATTGTCTATGGAGAATCCTCCTAGAAATGGGTGTTCCTAAGCATTTAATAGCACTGCTCGCAAACCTATATGAGAATGGGAAGTCAATGGTAAGAGTGAACGACGTGGTATCCGCTCCTTTCAAACCACAAAAAGGAGTACGACAGGGATGCATCATATCCCCTCTTCTTTTTAACATCTACGGCGAGTATATCATAAGGACAGCGCTAGATGAGTGGGATGGAGGCATTTCCGTTGGAGGCAACAAGATCAGTAACCTCCGATACGCCGATGACACTACGCTATTGGCTTCTTCAGAACAGGAAATGGCTGAACTACTTAGAAGAGTCGAGCGTGCAAGTGAGATGGTCGGTCTTTCCATTAATAAGAAAAAAACGAAAATCATGGTAGTAGATCGAGCTGGAACTTTTGCACGAACCGGAGAACTGGCGGACCTGGAATTTGTAGATGAGTTTGTGTACCTGGGATCACTTATAAGCAATCAGGGAGGCTGTGACAAAGAAATTCGGAGACGTACGCAGATGGCCAAGGCAGCTATGAGTAAGTTAACCAGAATCTGGCAAAACAGGAAAGTGTCGAATACCATCAAGACCAGACTCGTGCGATCTTTGATGTTCTCCATATTTCCGTACGGTTCCGAATCATGGTCAATCCGTGCAGCTGACCGAAAGAAGATCGAGACTTTTGAAATGTGGTGTTACAGAAGAATGTTGCGTATACCGTGGACAGCAAAAAGAACCAACAGGTCTATTCTCGACCAACTGAAGATTACTGCCAGACTATCCACTATATGCTACCAACGAGTCCTAAGTTACTTTGGTCACATCGCCCGGAGACAACCAGACAATCTGGATAAACTGGTTGTAGTAGGGAAGATTGAAGGCAAAAGATCACGCGGTCGAGCACCTACCCGCTGGTCCGACCAGATTTCAAATATAACGGGACTCAATATTCCGACTGCCCTGAGACAAGCCGAGGATAGAGTGGTGTGGAGAAAGATAGTCAACAAATCGGTGCAAACATTCCAGGAGAAGCACGACCTTCAGCAATGAAGTACACGAAGAAGAAGAAGAATACAATACATACAATAACATATATGTACATTGTACATAAAGTAAGAACTGTGATGATGATATTATGGTTTCCTTGATTCGTATAAATAATTTTTTGAGTAAGTATATAACAAAGGTTAATTAAATCAAATAAGATAACTAAATTCTGAAATATCATTGTAACGATAAGTATAATGAGTAAAATATAGTTAATTCGTTTTAGGATTATTTTAAATATCTTAAGAATGAAAGTACGAGCACAAAGCTGAGGAAATGACATTTGGGACTTGGGAGTAAATATAGATCTACAACAATAAAACAAATATATATTTTTATAAAGAACCTTGTTATTTAGTCATTTATTTTAATCATAAAATAATACTATGAAAGTAAGATTTCATTATCATTTTTTTCAGACTTGTAGAAATAAACCAAAATGGTTGCCTTAAGTAGGTGCGTCTTAAGTAGGTATTTGTGTTCCCTCATCTTTATAAGCTTGAATATTTTTTTCGTTTTCTTTGTATATTTATTCAATCTTCTTTTTAACTTTAAAGTTAACTGACAATTACATAATTTATATATTAATTATAAAAAATAAGGAAATCTTAAAAATGCGTCAAAAATTTCGTCTCTACCCGTCGATTAACATAATGCTATAAATTATAATTAATGATTATTTTAAACACCGAGTGCGCGATACAATATTGCTCGAGTTAATTTAACTTCTTAGTAAAATAGTATTGATTGGTAAAAGATTCTATTTTAAGAATCAATGCTTTACGAAAGTTTTCCTCGCATGAGGATCAACGTACGAAATGCTGCAGGATTACGGTGATGATAAACAAGTGGACTTAATTAAGTTTAAGACCGCGAGCAATAATAAACAAACATACGTATTATTTATACGTCAGTGTAACCTAACTTCCTAAGTATCACTTCTAGAGCAACTCTTAAATACGGAAGCGACACTCAGTTCGTTTTTTTATTACTAACCTTGAGTATATACTCAATGTGGCTATCCACAGACTATAGATATATAATATATTATCAGCTTAATATTAGCAACGCAATTTTAAGTCCGCCACCGCCACACCCGTTCATTTGGTGAAGCAAAAAAATACATAATATAAAATAGATGTTTAATTTCGTATACCATTGTTAGGTTTGCTTTATGTTAATTATAAATTAATACAGTAGATATTAATTTATTAACACCTCCAGGTAAATTTCTAAGAAATTAATTATAATTCTAAGAAATCTATTGTTAACTGACGCCGGCGTGTCCGCGGTCGTGGAGGGATTAACTATTTGAGTATATTTACATACACTATTGTTAGGGTGTATTTACATCTTACATACACATACTTTATTTAGAATTCTAATAAAATATAATACCTACCTGAAATAATCATTTCTATTTTTTTTTCTTGATTTACAATTCTAAAGGCAAGTAAGGCAAGTTAACGCGTCAACTCAGTTGCGTTGTAGCAACAATTTGCAATGGTTGGAGAATAAAGGACTATTAAAAAAAATGGGAAAAATAGTGGGAACTTTATCTTTTGGTTTTATTCTACCAAGGTAGTATACTACTTTAACAATAACACTGAACATAAAATATAAAATAATACATAAAAATATAATATAATACATAAAAAATAAGCAATTTAATAAAAAGTAGATGATATTTAATACAATCTGATATTTTAAAAATCGAAATTATATCCCCACATATTTTTTAAATTACATACCTAGCTAGGATCCTAGTCCAAATTCAAGATTTGACAATGAGATACAATTTTGGTGCTTGCAAGTGCCGAAGTTTTCACTTTCAAACGGACAAAAAAAGCCAAATTAAACTCACTTGGGTTGTAAATCTACGCTGTTCTCATAGAAGGCTTTAAGTTCATGCGGCGTGGTGGCCTGGAACGGCGCTTTACCGGTGAGGCATTGGTATACTATCGTACCCAGACTCCACAAGTCAGCTTTTGCATCGTACTTTAGCGACATTATCACTTCTGGCGCCTGTACATATGGGATATTATTACAAGTCATCTTTAATACTATATTTTTTGAACTAATTAGGTACACCGACTCCAAAATGACTTTGAATGTAATTTGAATTATTTCTTATATTTTAAATGGAATCACCCATAAGGCATGAGCTATTCATTTCACATTCAATCCACAATTGGCGAATTATTATTTAGATTAAAACCAACAACATTATAAATATTTTTGTAATCGTTATTTAAATTAAAATTTAAATCCAATGCCTGAAGGTTAATTTTTGTAAATATACTGAAATTACCAAGAATTATTAATATATCTCTGTTTTGTGCGATTTAATTATATATAAGTTTAGTTACCATATACATAGGTGAACCACAGAGCGTAACGGCCATGTTTCCTTCCTCCAGAAATCTTGCAAAGCCGAAGTCCGCTGTAGAGAAGTAATTATCATATTATTCAGAAATAATAAAACAGAAATTCATTTTGAATTACCTTGTTGTGGACTTATATTAATTGTATTGTATAATTGATTTGAAAGTACAAAAATTATAAATTTTATATAGGACTCACCCTCGTCTCTAATTACGTTTTAACGGTTAGTATACCTAGATTTCTAGGAGATGAGATATTTTTCCGCACTAAAAAGTATCGTATTTGTTGACCCTGATATACCAGCTATCGCATACCAAACCTTATCAAAATCTGTCCAGTGGTTTTCTCGTGATGCGATAGCAGAGAGACAGACAGACAGACAGAAATTCTAAAAAAGATGGTTTCGGCCTCTGTATTGATAATAATATCTATTTCAATAAGCTTTTCCAAAAAATATTTAATGTACAGATTCGGCTTAGTTACAATTTTATTATACAATTATGTATAGATTAGTCATAGTTTATTTTATTTATAGTCACTGATTGTCAAAGATAGTAAAATTGAAGCTTTATTTCCTGTTATGAATTCGTATAAAAAAATGCTTACCGATTTTAAGCGTAATTTCAGTAGGATGTGGAGTGCGCGGTGGCATGACATTGTGAGTCAGGAGGATATTCTGCGGTTTCAAATCACGATGGACGATGCCTTTAGCGTGTATTGCACGCATTGCTTCCGCCAGTTGTCGAAGAAAAGTCCTAATTGTACCCTCACTAAGTAAACGATTAGCTTGTAGATAGTCCGCTAAGTCGCCTCCATTACAATACTGTTAATATAAAAAAATATTACATATTATTTATTAATAATACGATACTGTCAATAATACGGTACGGTAAGTAAACTTTCATACATAATAAAAAAATCACACTTCAGAATTTAATAACTACAGACGTACATTATTATTTATATACATGGGTCGTCAATTTGCTAAATAAAGACTTAGCAAAAGTAAGCGCTTAGAGACGTTCCATGCATTAACAGTTGGCATAAATAGACTTTAAGCATCTGCGCAGCCAGGTTAGCCATCTGCGCAGGAGGTATTATAATGGACAAGTGTGTGCGTCACTCTCGAAGCTTTTTATTTGTTTTTGGAGTTTGAGAAAAAATATTAAAGTGGCAATATTAATATTCAGTATCGCCTGAAGGTTCTATTTCCTTTTAACTAAAGCAGGCAAATATTTTGATTCAAAATAATCTTCTCGATCAGGAATCACATGCACAATCTGTATAAGTCCTCCGCTAAACATTGATAATTAATTAATTCTAAAAAACTTTAAGGAAGGCTTTCAATGTTTTTTTGGTACAGGTATTCTCACTCAAAAACATTAATCTTTGGATATTTTGACGATGCTTAGTGGTTACTCCATCGCATACACTTAGTCAAAATGGTTTGGACCAAAATTACTAAGATTGATTCACATTCATTCTAGTTCAGAAAGAGTTACTGTGAACTTATGCTGAAACAGTAGTGTAATTTTAGTAAAGCAGTGAGAACGTAATTCTTATATGTGAATCAATAATTATTAATATACGTTTGAAGTATATACAGTGATTTATCGATAAAAAATTCAAAGAACCAGCATAAATTTCTCATAAATTCTTTTTACTCATAACAATATTTTTGTAAACGTACGTAACATTTCAAATACAAATGACGTATAAGTACCAAATTATCACTTTTGTACTTTGATTGTCTCCCTATTATTTAAATGATATACAATAAATTTGCGCCATTTGTTCGTACCACATTATCAAGTTTGACTCGCGATAAGCTGTTCCATGCTGCAGGTAATCTTATCATTGAGTGATAATGGCTATAAGTGTCAGTGAGTTCGCGCTCGCCAGTCTGACAATACAAGTACCTGCCAGGTACAAAATTTTGTATATTTGAGTTTTCCCATATGGTGACGATGAAGTTAAAATTATTTTGTATATTTTTGGGCACAGCAATTATGTAAGTAAATTATTTATCCAGCTATATTTAATATTTCATGCTAAACAAGATAACACTTTATTTTTATAGCGAGTTATTACTTATTTACACGTAATTTATGTTTAAATATGCGATTCTAACCTCTGACTGGGTAGGTGTTATATTAACAAAAAAATGTAAAGTAAAAAGTATTTATAAGAATTGAATACTAATTTAATTACATAAACGATATATTTAATACTACCCATCTATCATTATTAGATAAGACATTTACTCATTTTTGAATATGGTCATAAAATACGCGTAATGTATAATACTATTATTAAACTTTATATGAAACTCAAACATACACAAAAGTATCATTAAAATCGTCCCTTCCGTTTAGGAGATGATCAGTGGCACAACGACTGCAGGCTGCAGTCAGCAGCGCCACCTACAGGGTCCATTTGTATTTTCAAACCTTGCAGGAGCCCATTGGAATATACCCACAACTTTTCATCCAAATCAGTCTAGTCCTTTAGGAGGAGTAGGTTACTAAACACACGTACAGAAGAATTATATATATTAAGATTATTTTCAAGATCACATAACTGGTTACCCGTTACACCCTTGCAGCTATCATGATTCTTATCTTTGTACTTAGCAATTTTACGTCAGTTCGTTATGATAAACAAATGATATCTACTTGATTACAATAATGTCACATGGTTAATGTTAAGCCCGTTTACAGTGCTGGTGCGGTCAACGCTCAAAATGAAGATGAATTACATATACCTGTGGAGACAGATAATCAGTTTCCCCCTGATAACACTGAAACAGATGGACTTATTGAAGGTAGTGGGAGTGGTGTTATTGACGAACCCGTAATAGACAGCACTACTGATTCTAATATCTTAGCAAACGCAGAGCTAATTAAGGTGCCGATTGAAGAGGAACTCATTATAAACACAGAATCTAATTCTACTAAATTGCCATGCCCCGAGCCATGTGTGTGCCACACAGAAGGTGATACGGAAGATTTCGTCGTGGATTGTTCAGGATACAATCTAAAGGAATTTCCTTCTCCATTAGATCCAAGGACAACTACTTTAAAACTACATAACAACAAATTAACAGAAATACCAAAAGAAGTGTCAAATCTAAAAAAATTAAAAGTATTAAATGCTAATAACAATTTAATAATGGAACTAGCATCTGGTGTACGTATAACTTAATACCTTTTTACCTGACTGCCCCAAACGAGGGAACTGTTTGTCAAGTGTGTGTATGTACTTATGTATAAAAGCATGTGTGTATATTGCATATACATTGTACGCAAGTCCGCATACAAATCAAATTATACTTTATTCAAATAGACTTTTACAAGCACTTTTGAATAGTCAATTTTACATTTTTAAATATAAATTAAATGTAAGGATGTAAGTACAAGAGGAATCTACCACCGGCTCGGAAGGCAGATCTGCTGAGAGGAGCGAAAAACTGAAGACTTGTTTATTTTAAAAATAATATTTGTTCACAATATTGAAATATAATAATTATGTTCTTATCCTAAGTGTGTATAATAGTATTTCCACACATTTACATCTACAAAATATTCCACGAAATAATATACTGTGTTCGATAATAATGCGTGCATACATGTATGTTACATACTAATTTTGCATATTCTTTGGACTAAAAAGCCTAAAGTATTTTAACAAATGTCGACAGATCATTTAGTGTCTACTTCTTTATAATTGTATATGATTTAAATATAGTCTGCAAATCAAAAAACTAAAATATTTTATAGTTGCAATAATATGGCTTTGTCTGTCATTTAAATACTTAATAACTACAAAGAATATGTTCATAATTTTTACAAAGTCTGTTTTTAATTTATATTTCTGTTTATTATATTTCCTGTATGCTCAGATATTATTATTTTTTGTTTTACAGTCTGTCAGCGAGTTACCAGAATTAGTGATACTAAAATTGGGTAATAATAGACTAATTGAGTACCCAAAAGATCTGAAGAATAGTTTATATTTAACTAAATTAGAAGAACTGGACTTGAGCGGCAATGATATGAGAACGGTAAAAACTTATTCTATTGAATATTTATTATTTGAAACATGAGGTATGTACGCAAGCTAAATCTTTATCGAGCGAGATAATAAAATATAATGAGTTTAATTTTTATAATATGAAAGTAATTTTAAAATGTAAATTTGATTTTTCAGGGGCTCACTAAAGACAAGTTTACTAATTTCAACTCATTACATAAATTGATATTGCCTAAAACCACTTCCGACTTTATGTTAGATTTATGTGGATCTTTAAAAGGAACGTTAGAAACAGTTTGCGAAGAATCATGTGACGCTACATCTTTAGATTGTCCAGACGCTCCTGAAAATATAGATGAAAATTTATTTGACGGCGCATTACCAGGTATGATTTCATTAAATGGCGTTATTGTCGATAATAAGCATCCAGCTGAAAAGTCAGATATATCCGGAATCGAAGGGACAACAATTGTTACAACAACAATTTTACCAGTAACCAAAAAATCGCCTGTAACCGAACAAAATAAACCTGTTAATGAATATTCTCTTCGCAATGAGGTAGATAAAATTCCAAATGAAATAAAATCTTCAATCAATGTTATTGCCGATTCACCAAAAGAAGCGATAGATGACGCAGATGTTAAAGTTGGCGCTAAAACATCAGATTCAAAAGCAGGAGGCGGTGGCGTAGATAAAAGTGTTATTGGAATTGTAGTAGCCGGAATGGTGGTAGTTGTTGCTGGTATAACAATTAAGAAAAATTGGAGTGCCATTAAGAAAAAGTTTAGTTCGTCACCTAATAGAGCTGTCAGTGAAAGATCAGGAACAAATGTCAATGGTACTACACCTGAAGAAGTTCCTTTACAGGATAAAGCAGACAAATCACCTGTTTAAAGTGTTGGAAAGTCATTTGATATAAATTTTTATGCATTGAAGTGAATGAGTTCGATCTGAATGAGACAATTTATGGTTTAAAATTTTATTGTGTTTGAACTTTAGTATTTACAAGTATAAACCAAGTTATGTGCATTCGTTAACGATATTTAGGAGATTTGTTAATTAAGAATAAGTTTGAACAAGGTGATATAATGTAAATAAAACAGTTGATTTACTATAGTTCAATTATTATTATTGAATTTGTAGACAATATAAAAATCTTGATATTTATAACGTGTAAATAGATTATGCGAAAATAATAGTAAATAAGGAAAATAAAAAATGTTTTACTATCTTTGTATGTTTTAGTTATATTTATTTAACTGGTTAAAAATTAGACCTGTGTTTCTACTTGACCTGCAATTGTCAACGACTAAGCATAATACTGAAAGGACAGTTACAACAAAGAGTTCTAAAAATTTGTAGGGTACCAAATATTCCACTAACATTTTCTCATAATTTATATTTATATTATTTAACGTTAAAATGTAAAACTCAATTAAGTTTGAAAGTGACAAACCGGAAACCACAATATTTCAGCTTTCTATCTCACTATTGCTCTCGATTTCAATTCAATTATTCGAGTAGAACGCAATATACTAATGAAATTAGAAAAAGTGCACTAAAATAATTCCTTTTATATCGTCTCCTATTTACACTAATTACATTAGTCACTTTATCTATACAGAAAAATAAAATTGAATTGTCTGTTTGTAATGTCAAAATAACAGCTTTTTACTAAATGCATATGAAATTATAGGTTATTCATATAGTCGCGTAGGAACGCGACTATATGAATTGAAATGAGACATTACTGAGATTGCTCAATGCTCATAAATTATAAACCGTTACGAGACAAACTTAGCTAGTCTTGATAGTTTTGTATGGTAAGTTAATTAGTTTGTTATACAAAGGTATATGAGTCATAATAATAATTATTAGTGCACTAATTCTTTAAATTTATAACATGTTTAGCAGATTAATTGGACGTATGTAAGTAAACGTTTTTGAGTGCAAGGTGCTCTACCTTAAAACTGTTTTTATATCATGATAAAATACAGTTCAACAGAAAGATAACCGGGATGATTTCCGGGATAAAAATATAAGTATGCTATATCATTCTGAATGTCTTAAACTATCTTCTTATCAAATTTCATCTAAATCGGTTCAGTAGATCCAGAGATTATCCCGTACAACCTCAAAAACTTCACCTCTTTATAGTATAGGTAAACATTTTTTGATAAAATACAGTTGTTGATAAATGAGGACAGAGACCTTGAGTTACTAATCATACAGACATATAATCTTGATTATTAAAAGTCAGATATGAATATAGAACAATAGGTACTAGAAAAATTTACATTACGAAGTATTTCAATAACTGAAATAATATAAAACCGTTTTACTGAACCAGCAATGTGCATTAGTTTTACTCATGAAACAATAAGCTAGCAACACTGGTCCAAGTAATGTTATCGTTCGTTGTCAGGTAACGGAACATAGCGGGATGACTCGGTCAGACAGGCATATCGCATCCAGTCAAGCATGCATCCGCCCGCATCTTTGAGCTTCGGCTTCGTGCTGTAGCCTGTATACAAAACGAACGCATGTTGCCTTGCCTTTAAGATCATTCTTATTGTCTTTCTACACTTATATTTAAGAGATTTATTATGTATTTGTGACTTGGTATGGGGGTTATCTCCAAAACTAATGGTGCATTCCGAACAACCTTTCATTAATAGATAACTATTTTAATAGAAAATATAATATATAAATATTGTTTACATAATGTTATTTTGTTATAAAATAGAAAGTTAATTAATGACACTAGTAAACCGTAAGTTACGTCTCTAGATTTGTTCGATCGATTTAAACTTAGCAACATAGGTAGATACCTATAAAGATTTATATCGAAACTTATATATAACGCATACCAAGTATTCGCAGTATGAAATATTATATTTGTTATGTTTGAACATGCTATCCCCAGTAATCAGTAATCCAGTAAAATATAATTTTCAGGATTCATTTTATTATTTCATTTCGGAGAAAAAATACAAAAACTACAATGTAAGAGTATACTAATATGTAAAACCTAAGATTTTGGTTCAACGCGGGCGGAACCGTGGGCAATGCTAGTAATTTATAAATGTATATAAACGATGGATAATTAATTATTATTACATATACACTAATTTATTTTCGATGCTGATCAGTTGACAAGTAATAACTGTAATAATCACAGTACTACTTAAAAATGTGAAAGTACCCATGTATTTTGTAGCATTTAATGGTACTTTTTGCATTTGTAGGACTCGGAAGTGAATAAATATTCATTCAGAATTTCTAATTCCTCAAAATGTCTTTAATAAGATTTAGTCAAAGCGTTGCAAATTATTAGTTTAAATTATAATTCAATTAAGTAGTGTACATATTACAAAGTAATGATTTCTGTCTTTGAAGATTAGGTACTGTTGCATGCTTGATGCATGACGTTAATAATAAAAATAATATAGGTAGTAAATGCTTCTTGTGTAATAAATAATATGCCATAACTATACATATAATAAAATTGTAACTAAGCCGAATATGTACATTAAATATTTTTATTGGAAAATCTTATTGAAGTAGACATTATTATCGATATAGAGGCCGAATCTATAGTTGTTAGAATTTTTGTCTGTCCCTCTCTCTGTTATCGCATCACGGAAAAACCACTGGAGAGATTTTCATGAAATTTGGTATGGTTGATAACTGGTTATCTGGGTCAACATATAGGATACTTTTACCGCGGGAAAATATGTCATTTCTGAGAAAAAATACAAAAACTGCATTGTAAGAGTATACTAATATGTAAAACCTAAGAATTTGGTTTTTGGTAATCTGAACGCGGGTGGAGCTGCGGGCAATGCTAGTTATAAAATAAAAACGTAAACTGATTTCATATGGGACCCGAGGCATATTATTGAGGAAATAGTATACGGTAATAGCAATTATTACTGTATTTTATAACAGCATTTATTTGCCTATAGCTCTTTTCACTGATATTTTAATTACATTAATTTAATTTCGGCTTAACGTTGGATTTTATAAAAAATAATTGAGGATAATATAAATTTCTAATTAGTAGTAATCTACAGAATTAATTAGTTCCTTTTGATATATTTATCATAACAAACAATAGTATTAACATGTGCAGATTAAATTTATAGGCCATTCATGCGGTAAAAGCAATACTATTGAATGGCTGATTTATTATTCTAAAACAAGGTAAAAAGAAACAACGCAATTAGTTTTGTTAGAACATGTTATCAGTTCGCACTCCTTTCGTCCCACAGTCTCGCCACTTTCACATCGTTTTGTGAGGTAGACATTATGACGTAGCGTGTACGTTTTTTCACAATTACGAGATTACATTCATATAAAAAGTCCGCAAAGTGCGATTTTGCGCTTTTCACCATTGGACACCTTGGATTCCTACTATCAGATCTTAAAAAAATAGTTAGGTATATTTTAATTAAAAAAAAAATGTGTGTCTCCACTCTTCGTTTCTCCTCCACAATATAAAGCTCTTGTATAAAAGTTAAAAAAGGTGCCATTACTGCGCACACTATAGGTACATGTTTAATGTTTATAGTATATTTATACTAATGACTGAGCTCGTGTACGCTAATCTCGGCTTGTGGCACTACCTTTAAGTTTAAATATAATATGTATAGGTACATATAAGTATGTTGATATTTGCGTCATCGATTTCATCATTCACACTTAAATTATGTTTCATCATCATCTTTTGTCGTTTAAAATGTCTGCAAACTTATCTACAGTTCAAAAAAATAAATAAAATCTGGTCTATCAAGAAAAGCAAAGCTGTGGAAAATATACTAAATTAAATAAATTTTTGGGACAACATAGAAAAATAATGCGCTTCTTACTCTACCAACTCTACCAAAAAGCGTAAAGCATCGTAGGTTGTTTGAAAATAAATCCATTTGTTAAACACGTGTTGAATACAATTTGTGGCACTTGTACACGACAACTACTGTCAAACATTTCAACATTATACATTATACATCATACATAAATAAAATAGGAAGTGTTGTCTTATTTTGGCTATAAATATTGTATGTCAATCAAGGGATTCACAAATCCTGCATAAGTTTCAGGTAAAACAACCCAGACAGGATTAAAGATTACGTATTAAATAAGGTTTTAAAATAGTAGAACTGGTTTTTGGGTTGAGATATAAAAATTGCGTTTCTTCAGAAGATACACTTTATAGATAAGCTTAAAACGCAAAACCTTATCTAAATACAAAATTTGGTCTAAATCGTTAAGGTCGTGTCCGAGATACATAAAATAAATGAATATATATTAACATAATATAAAAATTGCTCACTTAATATTATAAGATACTAAACACTATAATTTTTCAGTGGACTGGATTGGGTTTATGTTACATAAAAATTTTACCTTTAATTTATTATATTCATGAATTACAAAAAAATAATTTAAAAATAGAGTACCTATATTAATAAATTTGTAAATCTGTAGAAGTAGGTAATGCTAGATAAAATTACTAGTTGATGATATTATATTCGAAGTAATAAAGGTTAGTGGGGCACGATGCGGGTGACACGGTTCAACAAAAGGGCAAAACGTGTCGCAGTGCCAATGAGTTAGTTAAATCAAAACAATTTTTGTTACTTCATTGTTGTAGATGACAAAAAAAATGGGTTTATCTTATAACGAATATTTTAAAAGATAATTATTATAATTTTATTTTATAATATTTAGTATAATTTATTTTTACATTCGTACCTATGACATTAGATAATACTCGCTCAGATTTGGCGCGTTATACGTCGTACAGGCTACAGCTGTCACGCTTTGTCAGCGTGCAGACTTTGTGCATACATACATACGAGTACTCGTATTATATACATGCGCCATTG